GAGGTATAAGCCGCAGCCTCCCCATTTGCTCCCCAGAGCACACAGGGGCCACCTGGCTGCCATCCAGGGCTCCTCTCCCCTGTTCCCCCCACATTCTTGCCCGCCTCACCCAGCCGTTCCCCTCGTGTCCTCTCCAGGTGCCCATCTGACTGCCCCACAGCGTGGGAGCAGCCTGGGTCCTGGCCCTGCCACACCCCACCACCCTCCTGCTGCCCTGGGAGACCAGTAGGGCCTCCGCCATGGACAGCTGCCTCGAGTTACTTCTGCATGGACACGAGTTGTCTGCTCTCTTGGGTACATGGTATGAGTGGGTTTGCAGGCTCAAATGGCCAGTGGTGTTGAACAGCGGGAGAACCCAGGGGCTCCCCACTGCCCAGTGATGTACACTGTCGCCGCAGGTCCTCACCATGACTCGGGGTGTCTGACACCTCGGTATCGCCCTGTGACAGTGCTTCCCTGGGGTCTCACTATGGTCCTGTTTGTGTCACCCCACTAACTAGTGGTACATCTGCCGTCCACAGCCTTCATGGGTGCCTTAACATGGGGTGCTTGTCTTGCTCCGGAGTTGTAAGCATCTTCCCTCTTGTTCTTTGCTGTATTTTCCGTAAGGCTGAGGCTGGCCTTTGACTCCTTCCTATGGCTTGTAAGAGCTTCTGATGAGACCAGTTTGTTCGCCAATTTGCATTGCCCGCATGGTCACTAGTTTTCATCCTGTAGGTGAAATTTTGGGCAGATCTTCAGATTACAGAACTGCCCAACTATAGTTTCTTTCAGAAGTTTTATGGTTTCAGCTCGTACACTTAGATCTGTTTTCCCATTTCAGATACAAAAGTAGGCACTAAGGTTCCATTTTACACAGGGTGTCTGGCCTGCCCTGAGAAACCTGCGCACACTGTAAGATCACCGAACTCACTTCTCTCCGGCCTGAATAGTTTTCAGCATAGTTATGAAAACGTGAAAGGAGCTGAGACAAAGGAGGAAGGAGCAGTCTTTCCTACAGATGGTGTCGGGCAAGCACAGTTTCATGGGTAGAAGAATGGCATTGGGCTGCTACCTCTTACGACATACAAAATTAACTTTAAAAGCAGGCTAAAGACCTAATTTTAAGAACCAGAAGTGAAAACCCTTAGAACTAAAACAGAGATATAAATCTCTGTGGCACTAGATTAGGAGTAGTTTGTCAGCTGTGACACAAAAACCCATCAAAAAACAAACTGGACATCAAAATTAAAAGTTGTACTTTGAATAACACCATTAAGGAAATATAAAGATGGGCCACAGCAGAACATCTTTAAACCCTGTGTATCTGAAGTGACTTGCATCTGGACTATATAAAGGAGTATCACAACTCCACAATAAAAAGAATAATCTAGTTAAACAGGCAGGGCACCCCGGGGAGAGCGTCAGAGCACGAATGCCTGATCATACGAGGTAAATGAAAGTCAAAACCATGACTGTCACCTCGCATCCGCTAGAATGGCTGTGACTTGTTTTTAAAGCACACAGTGAGGCGGGAAATGGATGGCAAAGATGTGGAGAATGCAGGCCCTCCCGCCCTGCCCACGTGGGCGATTCCACTGCCGGGCGTGTCCGCACCAGCTGAAGTCAGATGTTGGCACAGACACTTGCCACATGTTCACAGCCAAAGGTAAAAGCTTCCATTAGCGGATGAACAGATAAATAGAATGTTAGTCCTCACTGGGGGCCGTGACCCTGCGGCACTGAGAGCCCTGAGATGCTGCTGAGAGAGAGACAGAGAGACAGAGAGACAGAGACAGAGACAGAGAGACCCCGACCCCGAGACCGTGAGAGACCACACACGTACTACTCTAATAGAACAAGAAGCGAGAAGACAGGGACATCTTTAGGTAGGAAGTAGGCTAATAGATGTCTGTGCTTGGGGTGAAGAGCCACGGCGTTTGGGGTTCCCTGTGGGGTGCTGGGAGCGTTCAGCATTGAGAAGCTGGTAAGTTGTACTGCCTTGCGGATGCACTAACCCTCACCCAGTGTACACAGTGGTCCCTCTTTTGGCTCATTCAGTTCGCTCCAAATCCACATTTGAACACCAAGAAGTTCAACTGAACATATTTCTCTCATAAGAAATAATGGCAGACCAAATACCTGGCTCTGAGACCCAGAAGTGACACCTAAATTCATTCTTCCAAGACTTTGCCAAATTCCGTGTGGCTTTCTTTCTTTAACGCTGTCCTGGCTCTCAGCTGTCCTCTCAGCGTCACTGCTGTCATCACTCGTGGTCACATTGCGCCTCGGTTAGGGTATTTTATGCAAAGCACCAAGGAGCACTGTGTGTCACACCTCCCTGGCGCGCGGCCGTGTTCCATGGCAGAGTGGGGCTTAGGCCACAGCTCTCACCTGTGTCCACGGCGACACAAGGCATGACTGACTCTTATCCCGAGCAGTTTCTCAGGCTGGTTTTTAGTGTGACTGAGGAGCAGAGTAACAAACACTGAACGGAGCTTTTTCGGACCTCGCCTTTGAGGTGGTGGGAATTTTGAGCTGGGAGCCGCTGACCACCAGAGCAGCCCTGTACATGAGTCTGTTGTTACATGAATTATTTCTCACCTTAAAAAAAGAAAATTACTGCCTTAGCCAGATATAATTGATCTGGACTTTACTGCCTCCCCAGATACAAGTGGATCTGTGGACACACAAAGGCCCAAGGGACTCAGATCCCATCTCACCGAAGACTGGGGGTCGAGGGAACATGGCCGCAGCTCTTAGCACTGCTGCTGCAGTCATGCCCAGCAGCCACTGCAGCAGCACTGGGGGCCACAGGCGTGAGTCGGGCTGGAAGTCGCATTGCCAGCCTCCCCACAGCCACCATCTTGCTCCCCGAGGCCCCAAGAGAGTTCTCAGGCACAGGCTTCCCACACGTGGCCCATAGCTAAGTGAACACCCCTGAATCACAGCCTCTGCCTTCCCAGGGGGGTTCCCAGTGGCTGCCCAGAGGAGCTGGGGCCCCAAGTGGAAGCATCCGTGCCTAGTGCCGGTCACTGTGCCAGCCAGGCCACCTCCACACCCCAGCTTTCGGTGACACCTGGAGACACACGTGTTGCCCGTCTGCTTATCGCTCCACAGAGCCTTGGCGCCGTGGGAAACAGTCCTGGTCCAAGGCCATCCTTCCCAGGCTGGGGCACGTGCTTCTAGTCAGGCTGGCGGGTTCTGACTGACCGCTGTATGTGTCCCAAGTTTCCATGAATGGTACCCCAAGACACACAGCACACAGCTCTGCCCTATCAAAGCAGGTCCATTTAGGTCCCTGTTGGTTTTGCTCTGTATTCTCCGTCCTGGGGACCAACCCGTGGTGTGCTGGGTCGACTGTGAGCCCTGCTTTCGAGAAAGGGTTTGGTTGAGTGGGGCAGGCTGGCCTTGAACTTGCCATCATTCTGCCTCAGCCTCAGAAGGAGCTGGGATTGCAGATGTGCACCGCCGTACCCAGCTTGATTCGGGTACCGTTTAGTACTGTCACTGTGACAGCTGAGACTTAAACTGCTGTCAGTATGTGCTGATCCTGTGTGACCACTGCCACCAGTGCCCCAGCAGCCTCTGCCTCTATCGGTGTCCGCAGGAGCCTGCCATTCCCCGTCAGTCTGTCTGCTGCTCACCCACAGAAATGGCACGGGGTACCTGGGCGACCTCATTAACTTCCCCATGGCCCTCCAGAAATGCACGGAGTCTTCTCTGCGGCTTCTATAAACTGCTTTGGAAACCTGTGGCTTTGAGTCCTGTCAGCCTCTCCACCCTGTGTGTGAAAACTGAAAGGGACGCGCTCTGCTGGTGGGGACATGGAAGGGGCCCAAGCCCCAGCTGTCCCCGGAGTCTCCCACATGGCTGCCAAGCACAGCCTGGAAGCTGAGCTGCCACGTTCGCACTCCCTGCAGGTCCCCCAGACAGTTGTTATTAATTTAGAAGAGACTGAGGTTTAAAAACGTACCAGCACTCTCCACTTAAATGACTTGTGCATACATGCTCCCCTCCGAAGCTCTGCAGGAATTAGCAATTATCTGTAAGCCGACCCCCACCTCACCCCTGCTCATGCAGGCGCCTGCACTGGCTGGTGACACGTCTCTGTCCCCCCACAACTTCCCTTGTCGGCACTAAGCTGGTTCCATCCAGCAGTCCGGGGACTCCCTGTCGCCCATGCCTCATGTGGCCGAGGCCTGGGTGTCAACTCCTCCAGGAGCCAAGGAGGTGCCAGCCGGGCTCAGGGTGAGGTGAGCGGCACCCTGGCGGCCCTCACTGCATCAGGCGCTGTGAGAGGTCACAGAAGACGAGGCCCCTCTTGAGGCCAACAGGACTGGAGCCTCTCAGGGAGCCAGCGCCCCACAGCAGTTGTGCAGGCGCATGTGGCGTCTGGACGCCTGTGAAGCCACCTTTGTCATCCCCACCGGTCGCTTCTGCCATGTCAGCAGTGCCCAGGCTCTTCTCTGCACCCCGACCAGGCCAAGCCTGACCGGCCATCCCTCGGGGCCTGGAGACATCTCACATCGCCATCCCTGTGTGACACTTGGGACTAGAAACCCACATGCCTTCCCTCCCCATGGGTGTCCACCCACAGTGGGCAGGGCCCTGTCTGCAGCAGGGACCCGGAGTGCGAGGTGCTGGGGGTGGCTGCCGTTTCGGAGTCTGAGGGCCTCAGTTCATAGGGCTCTGAAGGTGACATCAGAGCTCCGAAGGCCCCGCTGGGAGCTGCCTGACACCTCTGGGCCCAGTGGGGAACTGTCTGAGTCGGGGAGGGCTGTGGGGCGCTCCTGCTGGGTGTCAGCCCAGAGAGGCGATGGGGAAGCCCGGCCAGCTGGGCCTGTGAGGTGACGGGAGGGTGGCAGCAGGACACCGAGGGTGTCGAGGGTGTCGCCAGCCAGTGGCTTATGTGGCTGGTGTGTAGCTGCTCAGCCCGAGGGCCCTCAAAGCGCCCCTGTGCTCTTGTCACCCCTTGCCATCCCACTGGCTCTGACTGCTGCCAATACTTCTCTTCACAGGACAAGTACCCAGATGTGGTGCACCTCCCGGAGGGGCCCTACTCCCACTGCATGGGGATCCGCGGTGCCAGCTGCCCGGAGTGAGTGTGGCACAGGTCCCTCCCGGGGCACTCAGGAGTGGGGGCGGGCAGCAGGCGGTGGGGAGCCTTGATCTGAATTACCAAGCTGCGGGCCGGCCCGGCCAGGGTGAAGGAGCAGCCCCCACGGTGGGCGTCATCCTCTTACCAGGCCCTTGCCCTGTGCCTTCCAGGTTCGAGCTGGTGATCGTGTGGAGGATCCACGTGGACATGGAGGGGAAGGTCCTCCCACAGCTAGATCTTCTCCCCGGGGTCCCTCGGCAAGGTAGGCTTCCCGGGGCCTCCCAGCCCAGCCGGCCTCCAGGCACCCCTTCCCTCTGTGCTCACTCAGGAAGGCAGGAGGTAGGCAGGATCTTACTGATGTGCTTCTTGTATCAGCTTTCAAAAAGTGATCAGTAAGTCAGTCACAATGCACAGGAGAGGGGCCCAGAACCAGGTAAGATTCCCCACCCCAGCTGCTCAGGGCCTCTCCATGCAGTGACCTGGGGGATGCTGGGGTGTAGTGGCCCAGAGGTCCTCACCTGGTTTCTGTTCGCTCTGCAGCCCTGCAACTGGACAGGCACGGAGTAGTGGACACAGCTCCCCAGGGCTTCCGTAGCCTGCTGGGTGTGCTGGGGATCGAGGGCACCCTGGAGAGCCTGATCGGATCGATGCAGTGAGCGAATAGCCCCGGGGCGGACCGAGGAGCAGGCCCTGCACCCACACGCACAGTGAGCTGAGCTGAGCTCTTCCCCTCCAAGGCCACCTGTGCAGTGTCAGCACCTTAGACCCCTCCCTTGTGACGCAGAAGACACAGCTGTTTAATAAAATGTCAGCCACCACATGCACAGGCTTGGATTTGCTTTGTTTAAAAGTTCAGCAGCTGAAAAGATGCATGCAGAGCGCCTGTCGGCCTCAGAAGGCTGGAGAGGAGCTGGGCCGAGTCGGCTCACGCTTGTCTGTGCAGCAGCATCTGGCCACCTGGGTCTCGATGTCCTCCACGGAGGTCCAGCTCCGCCCCCAGAGGGCCTTGGTGAGCTGAGAGCGCAGCAGCCTGGCATGGCCCGGCACAGCACCAGGCGCTCCTCCCGCCGGCCACATAGCAGGTCAGCAGGGCCGGGGTCCTCCGTCCTCCCCTGCCCCAGGATGGAGCCAGTGCTCCTCTGGGTCCCCTGCCCCTCTGAACACCCCCACACCAGGCCCCAGGCCGCGCTGACCCAGGGGAGGCTGCCCCAGCCCAGGCGGGCAGTGGAGCCACCTGGCTGAGGGATGTTGACGTCTTGTCCCTTCTGTCCTCCTCAGTCCCAGCCCCAGTACAGCACCCACACAGGGTGTGCAGCAAACCTGCCCCAATGCCCCAGTTTTAGGTTTTGGTGTGGTACCTGCTATGGAACCCAGACAGCACTGAGCTGGATTCTGCACCACCCCGCCTCATTATCTGACAACAGGTCTCGCTAAACTGCCCAGGCTGGCCTTTGAACTTGTGACTCTCCTGCCTCAGCCTCCCAGGGTGCCAGGATGACAGGCATGTACCACATGTGGCCGTATAACTATCTTCTTGTATCCCCGAATCTAGAATAAGGTTAGAAACATTAAGACGATTCGAAATAAATGAATACTAGAAGAGTTGTCTTGATTCAATCAAACAAGTGTAATTTTCAAGTTATCACAAAATTTCCCACAAAAATTTACAATCAGCAAAATATTTTCCTCATTTTTCATGTAGCATTTTCATACAATTTCATGGTTTCATTAATATAATATGTTACACTAAGCCTTCATTAGTCCCTCAAATGATGTATAAATAGCTGTACAACCTAGCATAGAATATAAAATGAGGCCAAGACTCCCAGTGATTCATAGCAGCCGGGCACACTTCTGGTGACCCCAACAAGACCCTCCCTGTGCACACTGGGATCTGCACCTCCTGCAGCCCACGGCGGCCAGGCCCAGGCCCTCACGGCAGCCTAAGGGAAGGGTGTGGCGGGGAGGACAGGACCCTCAGTCTTGGACCACTAGCGGCTGCCTGCACCTCGACCCTGGCTCCTCAGTGAGGTGCAGCTCTGCCTGCAGCCTCTGCAGCAGCAGTGTCAGGTAGGAAAGGGCGCCTCGCCTCCCTTAGAGTCCAAAACAAACCATAAAGCAAAAGCAGAAAGTGGGTGCCCGCATGAGTGGTGCTTGTCCTGACCTGAGTCTCGCGCCCCCACCAACCTCTGGGCAAGCGCTGGCCAGGGCACCTCCGCAGGAACCTGCGCCTGCACCACCCAGGACAGGTCCCTTGGCAGCCGGGTCCCCCAGGGCCTGGGCTGTGTGGCTTGCACTGAGGAGAAAGTTCCAGTATCTCCAAGCTCTAAGACGTCCGTGACAGTCTAAGTTTTCTGTGTAACAGGTCCGGCGGTCAGAGGCCCGCAGGCAGCTGCCCAGGGCTGGCGGACACCACCTCCTGGGAGCGTGAGCGCTCCCTGGGCCGTGGCACCCATCCCCTGTCCCTTGTCCCCGAGATGCTCTGGTGCTCAGTGTAGCCTCTCCCAGAGATGGCTTCACCTTCACAGCAGGACAAGTTCTCACCCGGACTCCGCTCTCACAGTGCAGGCCCACAGGGCTGCGGGGACTTAGACTTTGTGGAGGACCAGCGTGCAGTCTTCACGCTCCTTGAACCGGGTGGGTGCCACGGCGCCATCTTTGGCATGCACAGTCTTGGCGTAATAGCTGGCGATCTTGGCGTCCAGCCTGTGCTGGTGAGGGATGCTCTCATACGGCTTGAGGTCCAGGTCCAGCGCAGACACCGAGAAGGCCATCCGGGCCCTCGAGGCGGGGACAATGAGCCTCTGCTCGGGGCTGCAAGGCAGAAAGCAGTTTCAGAGCACAGAGCCTCACATCAGAGCACGTGTCGTGCACACTCCTGGGGGGGGGGGGGCATGAAAGGGCCGTTATGCGGAACTCGGGAGTGACCCTCCCACGGCCCAGAGGTCTAAACACAATGTGGAAACGTCACTTTATCCTGCTTAACCGTTACAAAACCTAGACGAAAGCAGAGGCGATCTGGCCACGGGACAGCGCAGACGCTGAGGATGGGCGGCTTGCTATGTTGGTCGCCCCCCCCCCCATGGCTGCGGGAGCTGCGCTCTCTAACCGTGTCTTTGGTGTCTGGTGTTTTGCTTCCCAGGGCTTAGTTTTGTAGCCTTATAAACATTGGAACCCCCACCATGGCTCGTAGCAAACAGGAGCGCGTTCAGAGGCACGCTGCTGTCTGTGTGGAGCCGGAGCACAGCATACACAGGAGCAGCCGAGGGAGCCAGACTCAGTGCAGCCCAAAGGAAGTGTGCTGGGCGCTGGCTTCTCACGCTCACTACTGTTCCAGACTCAGGAATCCCAGGAAACAGGCAGACTCAGCCTTCAGAGCCTGCCGGGGGACAGCCTGCTCCGAGACCGCTAATCAGGGCAGCACTCTAACTCGGTTCCTACTGCAGAACCCTGCTGTAGGAAAAGACGACCCCTAGCCGAGCTGCTGGGGTCACTGCTGTCTCCTAACTAGCAGAGAAGGGCACATCAGTCATGCACTACACACATCAGTGCCCCAGGTCTTGTGGAGGGAGCTGGAGGAGCTTCGGCAGGTCCTGATGCCTGGATCCCAGCCCACCTGCCGGGACCAAGACAAGGGCTCCGGATTCTGGAGGACGCCTCGGTGTCCCAGTCATAAGCAGCACCCAACAAGATGCCACCTACATCAGAAAGCGTTTGCTAAACAGTCCCTGCAGGCTCTGACCACCTGGTCAATGCATCCAGGAGCTCGGTAAGAGTCAGTTAGTGGTCAGCAAGTGCCAGCCTCTGCTACCAGGATGCTCCTCTGCCCTCAGGGTCCCTGCAGCTGAGACTGGATAAGAGGCTCCCAGGAGCGCATGACTCCTGTCACAACCACGTGTCTCTCTGGGAGCCTCAGCACTGGGGCTGGCAGGATTCCTGGCTGCGGGGGAGCTGCCCTCACCTGGAGCATTGACCACAGGGAGGGTGGCCAGGGGACAGGCAGAGGAGCCAGGACTACAGCCCCTGCCCACGCTGTGTGACACAGGAAATAGCAGCAGCAGGACTCTAAAGGGAACCACGGGCAGCTTTCCTGTGCTTCCAAACCCCACACCATCTAGAGCAGCAGGAAGGCAGGCTTAGAGCTCGGCTGTGGCTGCAGAGCCAGGAAGCCTCCGCTCAGGCGGTGAGTGTGAGACTCAGCCTGTCTGCAAGCTGCAGAGAGTGAAGGACCTGGATTCCCCTCAGGCTGGCTGTGCACCTCAGGGCTATAGACAGCAGGACAAACCTCACCCTCGCTCTGTCTCTGAGTGCCACCTCTACGGAGTGCAGAGCCCAAGGGCAGCAGTGGGAGAGCCCCCGAAGGTCTGCTCCCCACCACCCCACCTGTGCCCCTCAGAGCCTCTGGAGGCAGATCGGGCACCCTGGGTCTCCCACCCACCCGGGACTTCCAGGCATCCACATACCTAAGCTCCCCCAATCTATGATTTTCCCAACACAAAGCTTATATACATTAAAACTATAGTAAGCTTAAGTGAAGGTGTATGAAAACTTCAAAAGGATTGGAAGTGCTTTCCATTGTGCATCTTTGTCTGTTTTTTACCTCCTCCCTTTAAACATACTCATTCTTACTGGTATTTTTCGAGCAGTGCTGGGACAGAGCTCAGGGCCTGCTGCAGGCCAGGCTGGCACGTTTCCTTGGCACCATGAAAGAAATTCCTGCATTTGGTGAAAGGGCTCGGATGAGCTCTTAAATACAGATGGGCCACTGTGTCATGAATGTAATAAGCACACAGCTGTACCAAAATTCAACCATTTCCTTATTTTGCACATGAAGATTGTTTGCAAATTTTCAGATCAAAATCATGGTGTAGGACACCTTTCCACACAGCATGTGCTTTCCACACAGCATGTGAGCCTGTGAGGATTCCGCAGGTTGACACTTTCCTAAAACAAACTGGACAGCAGCCCTCCTCAGTCACACCAGAGGGGGCGGGGTGGTGTCACCCAGTGTCTCTCCCCCACTTAGCAAATTCATCAAGGCAGGAGAGGGTGACAGGGTTAGAAGCCTGAGGCTCCATCCCTATGCTTTTAGGGCATACCTGAGATGATCTCCCTGTCCCTGTGGGGAGAATGAAAAGGGACACTCGGGGAGTGATGATTGCTATGCCTATACCCCCAGCCTGAGCCCTGCACAGGTGTGGACTGCAGTGGCCCAGCTGGTACTTGCAGGGCAGCTGGTACTTGGCTCTCCAGTGCACCCCTGTCCCCGTCACAGCAGACAGCGGATCTGGAGGAAGTAGGCGCCTCACCTTCCTGCGGAGCCTCGGCCCTGCCTTCCCGGCTTCCCTGAGCCCTGTGCGCTCATACCCTTCTCCCTGCCGCATCCTTAGCTGCCGCTGTGGGTCTGGGTCTCTCCCGAGCAGGTGGCTCCCCATGGAGGGCTTCTCTCCCCCAGCTTTGGCACTCTGTACTTGGGGGAAACTAAACAAAATGTCTTTCCTGTGCTTCAGTCTCACCCTGTAACTGCCCTGGGGCTTCACATCAGAGAGGGACCAATCCTGTGCCTACCAGGAACAGGACTCCTAGAAACTTTTGCCAAAAGCCTCAGAAAATCCAGTGGCCAGCAGCTGGTGAGCAAGGTTGTCCTGACCCAGAAATGTGCCACAGAAGCAGCAGTCAGGGCCTGCTCTGCCTTCACACAGGCCCTGTTTACAAGGAGATGGTCAGGATCACAGCAAATGGTGACATCCTGACAGAGGTGGCAGATGACCGAATGTGCTGTCTCCAGGCTCTGCGTGGAAGGCTACCCACCCCACACCACAGACCTGGCAGAGGGTTAGGAGCGAGGCCCATGGGTGCACAGTGTGGCTCTCTGGAGTGGAACCTGCTACATTAGCCACACCCTTGGGGTAAGCAACAGAATAACTGTTTTTAGTTCTCTTCTAGAAATGTCTTTGAATTACAAGCTTCCACACAGGGAGAGCTGGAAAGCCCCATGATACCAAGTCAAGGATGTAGTGGTCCCATCAGGGGGTACCTAACTATGGGGGCCGCCATCCTCTTCCACCAGCAACCCTGCAAGATGACAGCAGGGGACGTGCAGGCCTCACCTGGTGTCCTGCAGACACGGGGACAGTGCAATCATGATGGAGCAGTCCTTGGCAGTCATGGCCGCGCGGTACTGCTGCACCTGCAGGGACAGGGAGGGAGAGGTCACCTCTACAGAAACAGTGCGGGCACGTCCCCCTTTCTTCTTTGCTCTGTCACTGTTGTTTGAATTTTTAGATTAAATGGCTCTCACTTTCACAAAAATAAAGTTACACAAAAGGAACTGGGCTTTTCACATTACTGTGGGGCTCACATGTGTAGCCACTGTTCCTCTCTCCCTAGTGCCTGGAGGACCTACCCCAAGCTGCCCTGTGGGCAGGGCAGAGAGGCCAAGGGGAACGCACTGGGGGAGGCCTGCTCCCGGCTTTGGAGGTGTGATGACACCCAGCACCTAGCTATGCAGCTATGTAAAGAGAGGCTCTTTACAACCTCTGTCCAGTTGTAAAGAGATCCAAGAAATCTGTGTTTCATGCATTTTGACACACCCAATCAAAAACAAAAAGCCAGGCATGCTAATGCATGCTGTAACTCCAACACTCAGGAGGCTGAGGCAGGACTGAGAGTTCAAGGCTAGCCTGGTGAGACCCTGTCTCAACCCACCCCACCCAACAAAAGCAAACAGCGCTCAGTGTAAAAAAGGACAAAATATGTAGCATGTCCTTGGTACACTACAAGCCTCATGTAAAACAACCAAGAAATCATAAAAGACTCACAAATTTAAAAAGTTAGAAGAGCTTTATATGATGCAGCCTGTCCTAATCTAAAACTCAAAGACAAGTAACAAGCTGGGAGAAAACACGCACAGCGTGAGAGGGACTCTCAACTACAGTGCCAGAGACCACCGTGGACAGTAACTCATCGCACAGGAAGTGGACCATCACACAGGAAGCGAACCAGAGTGGGGCAGATCTCACACACACACACACGTTTTACCCATCTGCACAGCAGAAAATATTTCATTCCTGGAATTTCCATGTCCTTAATTTCTAGTGAGAGATTAAATATGTATATGTGGAACTTGAATGTGTGCATGTGTGAGAGAGCGGGCAGGAGGGAAGGTGCGCTTTGAGTAATGCTCCACTAGGTAAATGGCCAACTCGGCTGCTGAAGCCAGCTTAAAAAGCTGCAAAAAACAGCGGACGTATTTGTGTGAAGACAGAACTGACACAGCAGGGGAGGCAGAGACATTGGGATCTGCCAGTCCAGGAGAGGGCTGGGAGTTCTGGGGTCAGCTGACAGATGCCTTTAACTACCCCACCCCCCGTGATGGTAACCACTGGGAACCAACCGGAGCACTCAAAGTGCTGCTCCTTTTGAGATTAAGTAGATTAAGGTTGCGGCCCATCTACATCCCAGCACTCCTGGAACCTGAGTCATAATCACAAATTCAAACCCAGCTTCCCTGCAACAAATCAGCAGAAACCTATCTCAAAATGAAAAATAAAGAGGGCTGAGGTGCAGCTCCACACCGAGGTCCTGCACTCAGTCCCTGCACAGGCACAACAGAAAGACGGAATGTGAGCCAAAGTCCACAGGGCCTACTGGGAATTGCAACTCCAATGGAAGAAATCACTGAACTGGGATTAAAACAAACTTGACTTGTTAGTGCTCCTCGACCTCTGGCAGGAGCAGACCTACGATTCTCACTGGAAAAAGATATGATCCTAAGCCTCAAATTATTTCTAAAGTAATTGTACAAATACAATTTCTGGCACACAAAAATACACAGGCACAAGAAGACAGGATGAGATGAACAAAATCCAGCAAAATCTAATAAAAAAAAAAACAGTAGGGAAGGAGTGTATGAGAGTCTGTACTTTCCACTTTCACTGAGGACTGAAAACCTGTTTAAAAAAAAAAAGTATTTTAAAAGAGGAAGGGAGGGCATGGGGAGGCAGGGAGAGAGAAAAGAAGCTGCAACTGGAAAAAATCCGTAACTGTCCCAAGCGATGGCCACTGGACTTCCAGCTGTTGGATTTACCAGGCGCGCATGCTGTTCTGCTCAAGGAATCGAAGGCTAAACAACTTCAGAGGAGAACTGGAAACTATAAAAATAAAGCAGGTAGAAATTCGAGATCTAAAAAATGCAAAAAGCAATATTAAGACTTCAACAGATAGTTTTAATGGCAAATAGAAACAGTGCAGAGGCTGTGATGTGGATGGACAGCAGACTCTCAAGCAATACAGTGCAGCTGACAGCGGGTGCTTCTCCTTGGCGGCAGTCTCCCCTGGGGTTTCAGGGGGGGTCATGGGAAGGAACAGCGACTCTGGCCAGGCCCGGAGCCTGGGGTTGGCCAGGACTGAGGAGCAGCTGGGGTGCCAGGCGCCTCCCACTGCTCTTCTTTTCCTAACAACAAAATAATCTTTACTTCAGTTATGATAATTCACACCTCATTTTGCCTTCAGTTAAAATGCAAATGGCACTGAGGAAGGATAACACTGCTTCAAACTTTGTGTTCTAAACCTAATACCCAAAAGCTGAGTTTGGTATGAAAAGGTCATAATTTAGGGACAAGGGAACCAAGCACAGATAACAAAATGAAAAAAACAGACAAGGCTAAAGAGAATGCCAGACTAAAGACAGACCAAAAGAAAACCACCAGAAAATAGCAAAGACAAGACAATGTGTCCAACATGTGTAACTGGAATCCGGAAGAGAGGAAATGAACAAAAACAAAACCTGACAAAGGGCAGAATTTTTCCTATATTGAAGACATCAAGGCACAAATTCAAGAAAACCTCCCCAAAATCATTTCTGCACATTACTAAACAAACACTTAAAATTTGCTGCAAGCAGACAACACCAAGAAAAAAACAAGGGAAAGTGTCCTTCAGACAGGGCCAGAGGGACCCTCCTCTCTGCTGGGAGGTGCGGAGCCCAGTGTGGGGCTTCCCAGGCTCAGTGCGGGTGACTAGAACCAGGCCCCTTGTGTTGATCGCTGGGCAGGGGAGACACCACAGCTGCTAAGCATCCTGTACTGCCAGAGAAGAACAGTGTTAAATCACACGGCCTCCAGGAAAGTCCACTAATTGATGCAATAGTTGAGAAACTACTCTTTATAAATTCCAAGTGAATAGAATATGGACAGTGAATGATGAGAAAAAAAAGAACACTCTGAAAGGTTAAGATAAAAGCAGAAAATCTAAAATAGCTGATCAAAAACTTAAAGTCTAACGAAGTGACAAAGAAAATGCCAGAATGCATTTTAAAAACCCAAATATATGCCACATTGAAATGCAGACAGACGGTGAAAAATGAAAGGCTGGACAAAGATACACACTGCAAAATATTAAGCAGAGGAATCAAGAGAAGTTACACTAATAGCAGACAAAAGACATGAAAGGTGCTACCAGAGAAGAACGATGCTTAACTGATAAATGTCAACTGAGAATGAAAAACCCAAGTCACCAGGAAGGCACAGCAATTCCAGCTCCATGATACCTCACAAGGTAACTGCACAACAAGAAGAAAATACAAGTCCACACTCCTTATGGGAAACTTCCAAACATCCTTCTGGGAGCAGGCAGGCAGTCAGATCACGAAGGCGACAGAAGAGCTCAACCACAGGGCTCATCTGACCTCGTGGGCAGACAGACCACACAACAATCGGAAACTTGAGAAACTAGATTTCAAGCATATACAGGAGTTTAAAAAAAAAAAAAAATCAACAAACTTCAAATGATCATATAGAGTATGCTCTTTGCTATGCAATTTTAAATCAATAGTAAAAGATGATGATAGTACCCGTGTTTGCTAATTGATTCCTCTCTAGATTTATGGGTCAAAGGACAAACTAATGATCAAGAGTACATTTTAAATGAAAATACAGTTTGTGGAATATAACTAAAGTCATGGCTGGAGGAAAATACATACTTAGTAGTAGCTAAAAACAGTCCTATTAAGTGTTCCCATCAGGGAAAAGTTGCAGAAATTATGCCACACAGAAAAAGGAATGATCACAGTAAGGTGATAACACAAAATAATCATGTAGGAAAAGCTCAAAAAGGTTTTATGAAACTAAACACTGAGAAACTCTGGGTGGGGCTGAAGAAGACACTTGTAATCCACTCTAAAATCATAAAGTGGCTTTATATAAATATCAGAAATTCCTTGCTCATAATTGCAGAGGCTGAAACACCCAAACTGATCTGGAGGGCTCTGTTCAGGAGCCAGTGTCCCCCAAGGTCTCTGCTTTCCACATCCACACTGCAGGGGTAAGCCACCCGAGAATCCAACAGAGAAGCACCAAACACCAGGAATAAGAGGGTATTCTTCAGATCTTACAGAACATTAAATGATAAGAGTGTTAATGCCCCAGAAAAAAATCATAGGTCAAAATACTGAAAACTTGTGTAGCTAAAAGAAATTTCTACCAAAACAACTTCGAGAAATATCGAAATCTGATACCGAGCTTTTAATTTACAATTTTCCTAAACAGACAACTACCGGTCTCAGAGGGTCCATCTGGGCTTCTGTAAGGCATCTGGGGAAGAAACAGCACCACTGCAGGGAACAAAGGCCAACTCCGTGCCAGGTCCACAAGGGGGCCACACGCTTGGTACTAAAGACTCATGAAAAACAAAACGGGAACCCAGGGCTCCTGTCCCCGCAGGCACACACCAGAACCTCCCCAAACAAACTGCCAGCAGAGCCAGGTTCACCATGCATGGAGAACCACCCAAGACCACCAATGGATGCACTAGCGTACTGCCAAACACAGGAGCAGACAATATGAAAAACTCGTACGATAGCTCATAGAAACAAAAAGTGTGCACACAGTTCAACATCCGCTCCTGACTTCAAAATCTCTTAAGGATTGGGTGTGGTGGTACATCTAATCCCAGAACTCCAGGAGGCTGATGCAGGAGGATCACAAATTCAAGTCCAGACTGGGCAACTGGCTGACTTGGTGAGACCTGTCAACCAGCCAGTCAATGGCTGAGATTAGTCTGCTATGAAGGCCCTAAATTCCCCCAGGTCGCTAAGTAAATAGTCCTTAAATCTGATTACAGCCATCTATCATAAAAGAAACATGAATCCTACATTATTAATCCTAATAAAATTTGTTCCTTCTAAGATTCGTAACAATACCGAATTTCTCACTATCACCTATTAACTATAAACAGTGAAATAAAACAGGAAGACACAGAGATTGGAGAAAGGGGAAAATATCAAATGCACAAGGAATATGATAAAAAGGAAATGCAAGGGAAGCTTAAATAGTTAGAATTAAAAAGGGAGCAACTGCTAAGCAAGGCAGTGCACGCCTGTGAGCCCCGCACTGCAGTGCTGGGGAGAGTTCGAGGCCAGCCTGAGCAACACAGTGAGACTCTATCTCCAAAAAAAAGTGAGCAGCTGCTGCTATAAGATCAAAACAAAAATCAAGCCAAAACAAACAAATATATAACCAAAATAAACACTTTTAAAATGAAGTATTCTGAAAGGTCCCCATTCATAGCCCAAAACTGTCAGCTATCTTGAAGTAATAAAAACGTCCATGCTGGAAGAGTGGGTGTTGCAGACATCGACGCTTGCTGTCATTTTAAAGCCAAAACTCAGAAGCCCAGTAGTCGTGTTCCTGACTCCCTGAACTGAGCACGATGAATTAAAATACGCACAGGTGTGCAAACAGTCCAGCACAGCCAGGAGTGTTTAAGGCTGAGAACAGAAACACACGCAGAAGTCCCCTTGTGCCTACTTCCCGGTATGCCACTCCCCCAGGTGCACTCTGGGATGCTGATGCTCGGACTAGTGGCCTGCAGTGCCCCTCACCTCCGCCCCTAGAAAGCTTCACAATGGTCTCGCAAACTCTGCGAGACAGTGCTGCACAGCACAAGGCTGAGGTAGAAGACCTAGCTGCAGCATCCACCCTGGCTTCCTCCTGCCCGGCCCTGCCCCACCTGGGTGGACAGAGACCCTGGCCCACGTGGAGAGCTGTGAAGGTTCTGAGAGCAGCTTTGCCAGGACACCCTGAGCGTCCCACTCAGGCCACCCTGGCAAGTGCTGCATGATGCACACAGCTCACCAAGGACAGGGCCCAGACAGCAAGAGCGGCCCCGAGGGCTGTGAAGCATAGCCAAGGCCACACAGCACACAGAGCACAAACCTTCGGGAACAGCTGCACCTGGGGGGCAAAGGGCCCCAGTGAGCGCCAGGGAACTCCAGGGTGGCTTCACGGAGCTTGCTAGGGAACAGTCATGGGGTGACTCTGGGCCCCTCTTGTACATACTATCATCTCAGAGAGCAAATGGTTAATGAAATAAAACCTTAGAAAATTAAGTAAGTTTATCTTACTTTTTTGTGAGGTGACAGGGAAACAGTGCCCTCAACTGTTGCAAGAAAGAACCTAACAGTAAAATCCTTTTGGGAGGACAATGTGTCAAAACCCATCAGAAACAGACCAGGTTGACTTCTAAGACTGCATGGCATGGAAACGCCGTGTGCAGCCCACCACAGTGGCCCACACATAGGATCACAGCCCTCAGGAGGCGCAGGCAGGAAGCTTGCCAGTTCCAGTTTCAGGAATCAAAAGGGCTAGGGGTGGAGCGCAGTGACAGTGTGAGCCTGGCTTCCACCCCTAGGACTGCAAAAACACTAGCAGGTAGGCAGGCCCTTCTGAAGAGCCTGACCCGAGCACCACCGAGTACCGGTGCACAGCGGGCGGGAAGGTGAAAAACACCCCCACACAACTGGCTCTGCACCAGAGCCTCAAGAGAGCAGAGCACAAGTCTGGGGCTGGAAGCATCTGGAACGTGGAGCTGCCCAGGAGGTTTGATCCGCCTCAAGCCAAGGCCTGCAAGGTCTTCCCCACGCAGATCAGATCAGATCAGATCAGATCAGATCCACCTGAGTTCACAATTAGCATCAAAAACACAATCAAAAATAAAATCACAATTGAATAAGCCACGGCCATGAATTAGGCAAAACACCCAGACAGTTTACAACAAAATGGGACTTCACAACTTGCTTAAAGAAAAAAAAAAAAGGACAGAGTTTCAATTAAGTAAAAGTTTAAATTCTACAAGAAAAAAAGTAATTTTTTAAAAAGCAGTATTATCTTAATTTTAAGAGTATCTGTGAAGAGAATCCAGGACCTGGGCACAGTGGCAAGCGCTCTGCCACTGAGCTACACCCTCGGCCCCGTATGTTTTCTTCTGAGACAGGATCCTGCTAAGATGCCCAGGTTGCCTCAAACCTGTGATCCTCCTGCCTCAGCCTCCCAAGTAGCTGAGAACACAGGTGTTCCTGGCTAATTACTGTATAATCCCTTCTACCTAGAAAAATAACTCTTTTCAAGACTCTGAGTGGAAATATAAACATATCCATAAAATTTACCAACACAACATCACTAAGGTATTTTTAAAAGGACGTTCTTCAGGAAGTGGGGAGAACCAATAAATTAGTTAACTTTGATGAAATTAACAATTTTCTAACACAAGTAATGCAAGAAAGAAAAGCCCAGCCTAGGATGGCATTATTAGTGAACTCTATCACACATTTAAAGAAAAATTAACATCAATTCCTCTCAAACTCTTTTGAAAATTAGAAGCTGGAGCATTCTGACACCTCCAGTGAAGCCAGTAACTACCCTGACACAGAAACCAGGACATCAAGCTTGGAGTGGTAGTGCACACCTAGAAACCTTGCACCTGGAAGGCTGAGGTAAGAGGGCCACGGTGAGCCACGAGTTCAAGGCTAGCCTGGACTGCCTAGTGAGCTCCAGGGAATCATGAACTACAGAGACTCTGCCTCAAAAGACAAAAACAAATGCACAAAACAATTGGAGACGAGTATCTCTTAGGAATATGGCCCTGAAAATCCTTCATGCGCACAGTGCTCTGTGAGCACAGGTTTGGGTTTACTGAATCCTGGATCTTCGAAAACTGAGTCTAGTAGTGGTTGCAAGATCTGTGAGTGTGGTGAAGGCCTCGGCATCATACACCGTCACCAGATAGCCAGTACAAGGTAAAATTCTACCTCAGAGCTGTTACAGAAAAAAGGAAATGGGGGGGCAAACTGAGCAGCTGGGATGATACAGATTGAACACAAACGCGTAGGTAAGTCAAGACAAGTTTGGGAATAGAGCAAGTCTCTGAATGGGGCACGGCTCCAGCCAGGGCACTGCCCAGCAGGACGAGGCCCCTGGGCTGCCGCTCTTACACCACAAATAAGACTAAGGCACAGGGTCAAACTGGATGACAGCTGCTCCCAAGGGTGGAAACACCAGGTGGAACTTCCAAACCAGTGCAGGAAGAGAACGACTCTGCGCCACAGCCCAGCTTCCACCCCAGCCACCACCAAGCTGTCGGCGGTTACTCTGAGGGCTCCACAACAGAACGCAGTAGCTCCCTGGACTCCGAGGGACCATGCAGTTCGTCACTGGGGCTGTCCCTTCCAGAAAGCCCACTAAGCCTGCTCAGGACATGACCCAGAAGGGCGGGGCCAGAGCTGTCAAGGGCTCAGTGTGCTGAGACCTGAGATGCTGGCCTAACACAGAGGCCAGGTCAGCGCTGGGAGGGACAGCCCTCCCCAGCCCTGTGTTCCACTTCCACGGCTCCCTCCCCAGAGCAGTGGCTCACAGAGACCTCGGGCCACTTGGCCGGGTCCCATGGTGCCACACTGCAGCACTACCGACCATCCAACATTGCAGTGTGCCGTGTGACCACAGCAGCCCCACGATCTTACCCAGATCTTCCATGCCACCACCAGCCAGGCCTTCCCCGGGGATCAGACCTCGCACAGTGCGACCTGGGCTGTGGGAACGGAGCATTTGGCCAGCACCCTCTGAACCTGTGTGCAGTGGTTCTGGGGTGAGTGGGAGCAGTCACTTCTCTGAGATCAGTGCCTGGCAGCTGCACTGTGTCACAAGAGCCTAACGGTACCTGTGTGGCCCTGGCACTGCCACAGCCTCCCTGGCAATGCTCCCGCAGCTGGCTTCCCTGCCCCAACATCTGTGTCCGCAGCCGCACCAGCCACTCTCCAGCAGCAAGGTACGGTCACACGTGGTTCAAAAATGGAAGTGAAATTCAAAGTAACTCGTGTCTATTCAGGAGGAACCTGAAAAATGTTCTGTGGATATATATTTATATTCCCATAAAAAGGAAACAAAATCCTCTTTCTTCTGTTAGAGAAAAGTAGAAATGTGACACTGCTACTTAATCCTAAATTGATGTGCCCTAGCTGGAACATGGGATGCAGCCTGCACTACTTGGTCCCACACAGGGGTTCCAGTGGGACCCACTAGCCCCAAGCAAGCTCTGCCTGCCTCAGCTCACTCCCCTAGTGCCCTGGGCTTTGAGGTTTTGCTCAGCTTCAGCATCCTCCCTCTCCCCCTTTCCCTTTTTTCCCTTCCCCCTCTTCCTCTTGTGCGAAGCTCCATGTAGCAAGAGAAGGCCTTGGGCTCTTCCATGGGCAGGAGCCAGATCACCGTGAGGGCAGTGGGTGGAGGGAGGAGGCAGGGCACCCTTGCTCTGAGAGCAGGCTTCACCCCAGCCTAAGTGTCTCCTACACCCCAGCAGCCCGGTGATGCCACGGCCCCTCTTTGAGTAACATTTTTACAGCATTTTTACAGCACAACACAGAGGGTGACAGTGTAAAATATTCCTAAGAGAAATGGACTCCACAACTACATGGTCACAGTCGAGGCAGGGCTACACACATCTGGGGACGTCTGTGGCAAGGCTGGGGGCCTGTGGACCTCAGAGGGTACTGCTGCGCCATCGAACTGCAGGGCAGCCGGGCTGAGCCCGCTTTAAAGTGGCAAAGGAGAGACGGAGCTGGACACCCATGCGGGCCAAGGCAGAACCAAGTGAGGGGATCCTCCCTAGACACTATGTCCACTGTCATCGGCCCAGGCCACCACTCTTCCTATGGGCACCACCAGGGTAAGAGAGAGAACCCAGAGTCAAGCTAAGAGCTGCATCAGGCCCAGCGGCTCACCTTCGTTAATGCGAAGGCCACTGTGCCATCGTCCTCCGTGGACAGATCGAGCAGCTTCTGGTAAAATGCTTCGTCATAAGGCCCATCTATTTGTAACACTTTTCTAAAGAAACACAAAAAACAAAACAAGATGACAAAGCCACCTAGAAACTGTTTCCTAAAGCAACCATACTCTGTAAGCTTCAGGCCTCAACCCTCCCTCGAGAGCAGGGCCCGAGTGCAAGCCAGCAGGGCCAAGGGTGCAGCCCTGGACCGCAGGGCCAGTGTAGGTCCTGAAAGTGCCAGGCTCCTGAGCAGTCATGGGCAGAAGCCCACTTGGTGGAACAACACTGCCCCCTACCGGCCCAGATCTGACACAGGCCCTGGGAGCTGTGCTCTCTCCCTAGGAACGCCCACAAGGCCTGCATGTGCTGCCTTCCTGAAGCTGGTTGCTTCTGGCCTCATTCTGCCCCCCAACTGGGGCGACCCCAGCCCAGCCCACCCCCACAGTCGTGCCTGCGCCCACCTCACCTCTCCTCGGGAAATTCCTCCAGGTACCGCTCAACCCGGTTGTACAGAGGGTAGAGGCCTTCGATGTCCAGCAGGTCCAACATCTGCACCTGGAGGGTTTTGTACAGAAGACAGCCCTTCGGTAACCCCGACCGCTCTGGGGTGTTTTTTCCTACCAAGAACATCGGGAAAACGAGAGCAGGTTTGTTATCAACGGCGGAAGACTGCCAAGGGAGACGCAGGCCAGCGCAGACCGCAGGGCTCGCCTTGGGCCCCAGCCTGGCGCTGCGGGCAGATGCCACGCCTCTCTCAGAGGGCTCAGGCTACGCCAGGCAGGCCTGAAGGGAAGGCAAGGAGCCCAGGCTCTGCTTTGTGCCCAAGCCTCTCCTCGGAGCACTCTTTAAAGGCCACCACACTCAACCCAGAAGGCCAATGTGATTACATTCACACATACAGTCATAATGACATCCCCCAGTCTGTAAGGTCACAAAGAACAGCTAGGGCTCCATCTCTGGAGTCCAGAGCCATGGGCCACACTGAGCAGGGGTAAGGCCTGGGGCCCCGCAGGGTGAGCTCAAAAATGGGCGTGCAAAGCCACAGCCAGTACTCAAAGCCACCAACCACCCAGAAAGATTCCACAGAGGAACAAAACTCCCTTCAACAGTGGTGCATTCTCTCCACCTGGACGGGCGAGGGCCCAGCCCACCTCCGCCTTGGGTGGAGTGACATCCCCCAGAAGGAACAGCCACTGGGTAAAGGCAGGGCAGGCGCCCCCCGCACAAGCCTGGCGTGGCATTGGCAGCCTGCAGTGCCCTTGTGCTGGGCATCTTGGCCATGACATTCAGAGAATCATGAGGCGGCACTCACACCAGCCCGAGTACTCGTGCAGTAAACCCCACTGTGTGGCCTATGAACACACAAGATCTCACTTGCTAACGAGAATCATGCTCACCAAGAAACAAAGCAGGGTATAAAAGGATGCATGCAGGACAACCTTACTGTTCAACCAAGGCACGCACACAGGCGACACCTGCTCCAGCACTGGCGTCGGAGAACCGAGGACACCCCAGGGACCCAGAAGCAGAACTTCCCCTCGGCCCCAGCCACCGCCCAGGGTATGGGCTGCACTGTGACACAATTACCAAAGCCAAAGCAATACAGATTCACTGCTTGTTTGTGTGTTAACATAGCACTAGGGCCCAAGCTGGGTGAGATGCCAGAGCTTTAGAACTGAGCTACACCTCAAGACCTATTTTTAAAATTCTGAGACAGGGTCAGGAACCCACAAAAAATCCCACAAAATTCATCTGTGCTAAGAACAAGAAGATGTAGAGGGCAGTGAAGGAGGCCAGGCTAAGGGGCTTGTGGTGGCACAGAAGCCAGCTACAAATTCCTCAGGGGACTCTGTGAACCCCAGAGTCACACCCAGTCCCAGGTCAGGAGAAACCATGATGCCTGGGCTTGAGTCTGACTCTTCCACCTGTGGAATCAGGCTCTGGCCTGCTGCATGGAGGATCAAATAGAGGCTGGGAACATTTTGCACAGCACGGAAAGCACACAACACATGGCAGAACTCCCAAGACAAATAGCCAGCTCGCCAGTGTCAAGCAGTGACAAATCTAGCTGAACAGGGAGCCCGGATCGGACCAGGTGGTCCCCAACAGTCCCGAGGCCCCATGACCTGCATGGACGGACCAGATCCTACCTTGGCGGTGGAAGCTCCGGCTGAATGGGCTGGCCTCACAGACAAGCGGGCCCCGGGGCCCTGGCCTCAAGGCCCCTGCCCGGCCCTTGTCCGAGCTGCTCAGCAGCGCCCGCGTGATGACATGCACCAGCTCCCGGACCACAGCCCGTGTGCACTGGGCGCCCCCGGCCAGGCCATTGGAGGGGAAGAAAAAGGGTTTCAGCTGGTGCGCCAACTCCCGCAGGTCAGCCGCTGGGCTCCGGGCACCACCACAGCCGTAAATCAGCTCACCGTTCTGAGGCAGGAGAGAGGAAGACACAGGTCACACAAGCTGGGAGGAAAATCCCTACATGCCTGCCGAGCTGGGCATGAGCCACTGGGTACAGGCCTCAATGGCTGTGCCATCAGTTCCCTCCACCAGGCCTTAGGGCTGAGGGATCCCTTGAGAGCAGGCCGCTCCCTGCAGGTCAGGTGTACAGACACGTGGCAGCCAGGAGCCATGGCTCAGGTAGCAGAGCAGGACAGCAACCACACCCCTTGAGCCCGTATGAGTACTGTGTCACTGGCATGCAGCGCATGGTCACTGGCCAGGCCATGCTGGCTTGGTCTAATAGTGGGGGGGGGGGTGGTGGAGAGGGTGGACAGCACCTTTGCATAGCATAGCTGGCGTCTCCTTGCCTATCCTAGCCCCAACCCCTCGCCTATCCTAACTCTAACCCTCGCCTATTGTTTTGGTCTGTTTTTAGCAAACATAGACTCTAGTCTCTGTAGCAAATTTATCTATTTGCTAAACCCCTGGGTTTCTCATGCTGACTTTTATAGAAGCAGTAAGTGGCAGGTGTGGGTCCCATTGGGTCACGAACCCAGACTTAACACACAGAGGTTTCGAGCAATGCCAAGAAGAAAAGGGCTGCCTGACATTCAGGACTTATATTAGAGATCTGTGAGTCCTTAAAATGAGTTAAAAGTACGTAAATAAAGAAAACCTGCCTTTGAAACGTCTCCCGTTTTAGGACTGGGGAGCAATGTTTCTGCATCAGGGTAGGGCCGTAGAGGACTGCGGACAGGGCTTCCCATGCCAGGCCCCATCCGCCTTCCAGCAGGGAGCACAATCCGGGCCAGGCCCAGGGACCCCAGCTGTGTGTCCAGCATGGGCACCAGGGGGAGCTTCCCTAGTGGAGGCCAGAGTAGCAAAGAGCCAGCCTACATAGCCACACAGATCCAGCGGCAGCAGACGCTGCCTTGTCCCCATGGGCTCCCCAGTGGGGAGTGCAGCCTGGAGGGTGTGGGGCTCTGAACTACATGGCCTCATGACCAGGATGGAAACATGGGAGTGCACATCACCACACCCCATGGAGCAGGAGAGGACAGTGCCTCCCTGTCATACTTCAGAGCGGGGGTCAAGATCTCATTGTCCCCATGGGGACATCACAGCCCCCTGCAGATGTACACTTGTAGATAGGGGTGCAGGACAAATAGGGCTGCAGGATACAGTGCAAAGCCAAGGACAGCGCGAGGACCCCAGGCAACACCACTGCAGTGAGGCCAGGCCCAAGGTGGCCCGGCGACACCCCAGCCACACAGACACTGATCAGGGCAGACATGCACAGTGCCACACACAGTCCCAGCTCACCTTAAATATCTTCAGGTTGTTCTGTGCCTCGTGCAGCAGGCTCTTCAGGGCAAAGTGCATCCTCTGCTTGTTTCTGCAGGGCAAACACAGACATGATTTCCAGGCAGGCAGGCCCCATCCCCCATGGCCATCCCCAAACTTCCAATAGTGGCCTCCCTTCACCTTGGCCCCAAACACGAGGGGCTGCAGAGCAGAGGGACCCAGACCGAGGTGGGGTGGGCAGGACGCCGGGACAATAGGAAGGGGGACCCTGGAGCACCTGCCCAATCCCAGCCAGCACTCACCGCCCTGGCACCCCATTCCTGTCCCCGACTACCCCCATGGAGCCCACAGGAACCCAGGGGCCAGCCCCCACCCCCAGGATGCCAAGCTCTGCCCGGGGCTACCATGGCAGCAAACCCCACAAAGGCACCGACCCCATGACCTGCACCAGGCTTGGGAAGGCCCCGTTCTGGGCACTGCAGGGAGAGCTCCCCTCCCCATCCCAAGTTCTCACAAGTTTTAACTCAACAACCTGTCTTTATTCTTGCTGCTTCAAAACAGCCCAGGGAGAGGGTGGATCAGCATAGGACTCCTCAAGCCCACTGCCTTCCACGCAATACCCTTGAGGCCTGGCCTGGGTGACCTCACTCCACTTCACCACATCACCTGAACTTCACAACCCCCAAGGCAGCTGTCTGCTCTGGAAGGCCTGCAACAGTCTCAGACTGAGAGCACTGACTGCCGGCCAATAGGCCGGCCGGCCAACCAGCCAGCCACCTGGGCTTAGCACTGCTAGCAGGCTCCCAGGGAACAAGAGGAGGCTGGAAAAGGCCCGACACACGGGCCTGCGCCTGCCCAGCCCGCTGGCACTGCAGCCCTGTGCTAAGGGATGTCCCCAGCTCCCCACGGGCCTCCTCACCCCAAGGGGCTGTGTGTGGGCCTGGAAGGCTGCGAGCCTGGCTGGCAGGGAACAGGAGCCTGCCCTGGCTGCCCGCTTTCCTGAGCAGACCTCAAGACAATCACTAAGCCAGAAGCAGACAGAAAAGCCCTGATCGGCTGCCTCAGAGAAAGGGCTGCACAAGATGGTGAAGGTCAGGACCCCCAGAGTCCACAGCATTGCCTCCCCCTCATGCTCACCCCAGCTCAGCTCAGTTTACTAGTGCCCTCACCATCAGCAGGGCACCCCAACATCTTACAGAAAGCCCTGGCCCACCTCCCAGGGCACCACCCCCTCCAAACAGCAAAGCAAAAGTGCCACTTACCCTGAGAAGAGATCAAGGGGACAGTATTTACTTATCTGCTTCCACTTTCCAGTTGCCACCTGTGAAAACACCAACATGAGGGCATCAAACGACTGGCTGTCTGTGACCACAGGGCCGGCACCAGCACACAAGGAGGCTGCAGGCATGCCAAGGGGGACCCCAGGCAACACCACTGCATCCGAGGAAACTGAGCGGCCAGTTCAGGGACACGCATTACTACAAGCTCAGAACTTCCTTGGGCAGTGAGGAAACTGGCAAGCACCTGAAAATTTCATGGCTAAACTTTGAAAATGAAACTGATGTAACTTTAAAGTTATAATACCTAGTCACGGAGAAGGCACTGTTAACAAGTAATTTCGGATCACCGCTGGGACTGTCTATGGGCACAACCTTCTTGGTAACCATCGAAATGCAAGATGTGCAGGTCCCCTGGCTTAGCAAAACTATCAGAAATCTAGAAAAACTAGCACAGGTGCAAGTCTGTAATCCTAGCACGTGGAAGGCTGAGGCGGGAAAACTGCCATGAGTTTAAGGCCAGCCTGAACTACATAGCAACACCTCGTCTCAAGAAGGAAGGAAGGAAGAAAAGAAAAGAAACAGAGAGAAAGAACAGGACAGGACAGAGACAAGAGAGAGATGGGAAGAGAGGGGAGGGGAAGGAAGGAGAAGGGGAGAAAAACAAAACTAGCACAGGGCAAAAAAGATACAGAACAAGATGTTCAGTGCAGATTACTAATACCAAAATCCTAGAACCAAAAAAGGTCATTGTGAGTGGAGAAGGGACTAAACTCTCTTGGGGCCTGGCAAGCAATCTATTAAATGAAGGAATGGGTAAGACATGCAGCCTCTCCCAGAAAGAGGTAGGACTAAGATTAACCTAGATTTATTCAACTGGCAAAACAGTGCAGACAATACGATGTCATGTTTTGCTCTTAAAAACAAAGTGTGGGGCACAGACGATAGCTCAGGGGCAGAGCACTTGCCTAGTACACAAAGCCCTGGGTACAATCGCCAGCACCTTAAAATAAATAAATAACTTATTTTTTAAAAAGTATGTTTCCTGAAAAAGACTTAGGATATACAAATAACCACCAGGGATTATTTTAATGAAAAAATTTAGCACAATAAACACACATGGCATGAACCTATCTCATCTTCTGAGTATACACACACCCACGTGCCCCCCCCCCACACACACACACACGAAGAGGCTTCGGCTCATCCCTTATAAATATCCATCTTCACAGGAAGGAACCCGGAAGGTCCCACCTACCCTAACCAGGGCTATCGTGCTTTCCTCACACCGGCCCACCCCACATCCTTTAGGGAGCACCATTACCTTGCTTTTTCCTTTTTTACTCAGCCCAAGCTCCCTCTGCAGAGCTAGTTTCCCCCTCACTTTTCACTATTACTTGTTCAAATAAACTGTGTCACCACTTTTTGCTCATTTCATTCAATTCTTTGTTCAAGATGAGAAGAACCTAGACTCTAATGTCAGAAGGACAGATGAGCAACATAAAACCTGGTAATGTTTAACTGATGAGCCACTAGGAGATGGAGCTACCTGGTAAAAGCTGCCTCACTCATAAGCTAACAGAACTAACTATATTTTGCACTTTAAAAAAACCCAACTTGCCTGGCATGGTGGCTCATGCCTGTAATCCCAGCACTTGGGAGGCTAAGGCAGGAGGATCCTTTCGAGTTTGAAACCAGCCTGGGCTACAAAATGAGCTGAAGGCCAGTCTGAACTGCACAGAGACCCTGTCTCCAAAAAAAAAAAAAAAAAAAAAAAAACCCTCTTCTAGCTGGGCATGGTAGCATACAGCTGTAATCCCAGTACTCAGGGGCCGAAAGCTACAAATTTGAGGCCAGCCATGGGCTCCATACAAAGATCCAGTCTCAAAAAACCATTTTATAAGCTCAGCATGGCTTTTGCATGAGAAAACTAACAAAAAAAATTATTAAAATCAAAAATTTAGAACTCTGCAAAACGACCAAAGGTTTGCAAAACTTTAAGGAGAAAAAAATTGGGGGCCAAATACAAGTAGCAGCATGCATTTCAACGCTTTACACTGTTCTTGTCTCCATCCCCAGCTCTAGCTCCAAAGGACCATGAAACCAAATGCCAGGATCACAGTGAAACCAGCAGCTGGCAGCTGCCACAGAGGGGACCAGACTGGCCAGAAGCACCTCCAAAAGCTCTTCTTCTCCAGCAGAGGCTATGACCTGCCTGTCTCGCTGTTCCAGAAGGTTCTGCCACCAAGGCTGTCTTTACTGGCCTGGAGCAGAGCTCCCTCCGTGCCAAGAGGCCTTTTATCCACGGGCATTTGTCAAAAACAAATCTAGAGGCCATTCTGCATCTAATTTCATGGCTTCCTGAGACAGCAGGTTTTTAGGTCACCTAAAGCTGAAACAGCACAAGCTGAGTGGTGAGACCTAGAGAGTTCTGAAAGCTCCTGCAATGGGATAGAGAAGGGTCCAGCAGCCCTACCCTTTCCCAGAGCTGAGCTGAAGCTGCTGCTGAGTCTTAAGTGGGCTCCACCCTGCACACAAACACTGAAGAAAGTCTCTATCAAACCTGTAGCTCCCAGTGCCAGTGCCAGAGAGTTCTGGGACACCATGATGAGGACACAGACTTTGAAAACTTAGAAAATTTGCTAACCAAACCATAACAACTACAGACAGCAAAAATAAAATATAAAGAGACATAGGATCTAATTTTCACAGTAGTGACACTATATTTTTTTTACATTATATTATTTAAAGTGCCCATTTTCAAAGTATCACCACAAAACATGTGATTAAAAAAGGCAGCAATCAACACATTGTCCATGGGAGAAGCGCAGAAGCGCAGAGGTAAGCCCTACTAAACAAGAACTAAATCAACTATTTTAACATGCTTACAGAAAAAGGAAGTAATACTGTCTTTAAAAGTAGAGAGTATTGTGAGTTCCTAAGTTCGATCCCCAGTACCAAAAATAAAATGAATAAGTAAAATTAAAAAAATAGAGACCATCAAGCCAGCAGTGGTGGCACACACCTGTAATCCCAGACTCAGGAGGCTGAGGCAGGACTGCCATGAGTTCAAGGCCAGCCTGGACTACATAGGAAGTTCAAGGCAGCCTGGACTACACAGTGGGACCTGGTCTCAAAACAATAGCCAGGGATATAGCTCAGCAGCACAGCACGTGCCTGGCAAGTGCAAGGTCATGAGTTCAATCGCTGGTACCAAAATATAAAAATAAAAAAAGGAAACCAATAAAGGAAGGAAGGGAGAGAAAGAGAGAAATCATAACACTGCCCAAAACCAAAAATTAAAACAATCTGTTGGTTGTAACCCTAACCTGGAAGAAACACTAAGGGAAGGTTTACGGGTTAAATTGAGAGGATAGCAGACAGAAACTTGATGCACATGAAGAGAAGTACATTGATAAATATGATAAATATATGTGGGATGATTTAAAAAGTGGGTTTTAAATTTTTAATATTTATTATAGTAAAGGTCACTGCCATTAACCCTCTCAAAATGCTCCTCTCCTTGCTTCGAGCACGCTCATCCCAGAAGCCATCCGGAAGTCCCCCTTTGTGAAGTATGATCAAAAGCACAGTGAAAGCCAGGCGTGGTGGCTCACGCCTGTAATCCCAGGACTTTGGCGGAGGCAGGTTCGAGACCAGCTGAACTACAAAGTGAGCTCAAAGCCACCCTGAACTGCATAGAGAGACCCTGTCTCAAAAGACAATTAAAAAACACACACACACACACAGTGAACACTGCTGCCTAGTGGCATCCAATGTAAAGATGCACTGGTGGAAAACATGACCACGGGTCCTCATCCTCCTTACTCCCTAGATCTGGCACGTGTGACTTCTGGCTCTCCCCAAAGTCAAAGTGACCGTGACAAATAAACATTTTTAATCATCTCTGGACATCAAAGCATCCATAGCAGGACAACCACGGGCCCGAGAAAGAACTTCCAGAACTGCTTTAGCAAGTGGCAAGAAGAACCGGGAAAGCATAAAAGGATTAATAGCAATGTGTCCTTTAGGATAATAATTTTTCATTTAAACTCTGCCTGTTGTGCAATGACAACTACATGAGACAAAAACTACAACTCTGCAGTGACAAGTATACACTCTGAAAGGTGTGACTTACATGAAACAACAGCACAAAGGAAAGGTGGCGAAGAGCAAAAGCTTCTGTGCACCACAGCGCTACCTACAGTGGAGTTAACAGGAAGGCAGAAAACTACGCGCTGAAGGACCTGCCGTGTCCCGGAACATACTCTGCCCAGCAGTGGTACACGTTCTACCAAAGGGAACGTGCACTGCCTCAAGAGCAAAACTTACGTTGACATAAAACAAGCCTCAATCAATTCACCAAGTGAAATCAGGCAAACAATGGTCTCCAAACACAATGGAATGAGATAGAAAATTAATGACAAAATGAAATTTGAGACACCTGCAGATGTGAAAACTGAATGTTCTTACTCACTAGTGGGTCAAGGAAACCAAAAAAGAAATCAGAAAATAAGATAAATAAAAATTAAAACACAACATACCAAAACTTACGGATTAAGAGAGAGTCATTAGAGTAAACTCAGAATAACATCTATATAAGAAGGGCTGGGTGCAGTGGCACACACCTGTAATCCCAGCTACTTGGCAGGCTGATGCAGGAGAATCACAAGTTTGAGGCCAGCCTGAGCCTCTATTTTATTCAAAATAAAAATAAGAAGGCTTGTGATGTAACTCAGTGGTAGAGCTCTTGCTTAGCTTACACAAGCTATGGATTCAATATAGACAGACAGGTGGACGGATAGACAAACAGAAAGAAGTCTAAATCAATAACCATACTACTTTAACAAACTGAAAGATCAACAAATTAAACCTAAAGCAACCACAGGAAGAAAACAGTAAAGATTAGAGTGGAGACAAATAAAGTAGTAAATAGGGGATAAGATGGAGAAAACACAACAAAAGCTGTTTCTTTGAAGACACCAAATATGACACAAAACTTTTGTCAGGCCATCAAGAAAAGAGGAACCAAATTACTAAAATCAAGAATGATAAAAAGGATGTTACTACCAAGCTTGCAGAAATAAAAAGGAATTATCAAGAAATACTATGATCAATTGTACGCTAAAAGATTAGACAAAATAGACAGATTCCCAGTAGCACGCAACTACAAGCTGACTAAAGAAATACTTTCTCAACAGATAACAAGAAACTCTGAAATAAAATAAACCTTCAACATAAAACTCGGAACCAGATAGCTTCAAAAGTCAATGCTATCAAATATTTAAACTGGAATCAATTCCAACACTCAAATTCCCCTCTACAATAACAACAACAAAAAAGATAGTGAAGGGAGTGAAACACTTCTTAACTCATCCCAGGAAGCCAGTTATCATAGTGGGACAAAAGGGAGACAAAGACATCATTAGGAAAGAAAACCACACACCAATCTCCCTCACACTTCAAAAATTCTCAACAAAAACTAAGGGGGAAAAGCACCATAAAGGGAGTATACACCATCATGACCAAGTGGAACTTATCTGAGAAATGGCCAAGCATTAAAAAAAAAAAAAAAAATCACTCAATACACCAGAGAGAACAAATGAATACACTTCACGAGCTCAGAGCTTATCTCAACAGATACAAAACAAGCATTTCAAAAAGTTCTGCATTTTTTAGGGGTTTAAATTTGTTTTTTCAAAAATAATATTTATAGGGGCTGGGGATTTAGCTCAGCGGCATAAGCGCCTGCCTTGCAAGCAGGCAGTCGTGAGTTCAATCCCTGGTACCGATAAAAAGACAAAAAATAATAATAATAATAATAATATTTATAAAAAACCCACAGCAAACATCACACAACTAAAGGTTCCTAAGATCAGGAAGAAAACAAAAGACATCTGCTTGCAATACCTCTATGCAACACTGCCTGCCAATTCCAGGAGGGCAATCAGGGAAAAAAAGAAAAGGCGTCTGTGCTGGAAAAAGGGAAAGCTCTGTGAACACTAATAATGTACACAGATAATTTAAGAACTCACAAAAATTAGAGCAACTGAAGTTCAGTTAGGTACGAATCAATAAACAAGCAACTGTATTTCCCAACCCACACCCATTAAGATGGCCACTATCTGAAAATAAGAGAAAATAACAAGAGCTGGCAAAAGTGTGAGAAAACTGGAGCCCCTGTGCCCTGTTGACAAGACTATAAAATGCCAACACAATAAAAATATACTATGGAAGTTCCTCATAATCAAAAACAGAATTACCACATTATGACCTGGACCTGAAATGCCCACTAGAACCCATGTGCTGAAGGCGTGGCTGCCAGTTGGTGCACTTTGGGGGAAGTGACTAAATCACAATGGCTCTGTCCTCATCGTGTGAATTAAGCCACGGTATGGTCATGATTTGACGGCATTACTGGGAATGACAGAAACAGGAGGTGGAGCCTGGCTGAAGGAAATGGGTTACGGGCCTGTGGCGTTGGGGACTGTACCTGGTCCCTGGCCCCTTTCCTTTCTGACTCTGTTACCTTCTCAGCATCCTGGCCAATGTGAGGTGAGCAGCCTTCCATGACCATACTCTTCCACCATGATGCTTCTGTCTCAATACAGGCCCAACAAAAGCAATGCAGCCAGCCAAGCGTGGACTGAAACCTCTGAAACCATGAGCCAAAATAAACCTTTCTTCCTTTAAACTGCTGTTCTAGGTTTAAAAAAAAACAAAAAAAAAACTGACTCACACACTATATGATGCAGTAGTTCTACTACTCCTGGGTGTTCACACAAAAGCACCAGAAGCAGATAAAGTCTTACTCGTAACTGCCGAAAGGTAGCAGGGCATCACCAGGTGGCCATCAGCAGGCGAAGGAATAAACAAAACCCAGAATACACACGTAACAGGATGGTGTTACCCAGCCTTGAAAGGAAGGAAATTTTGACAAGTGCCACAACACGGATGAACTTTAAGAATGCAGGGGTAGCTAGGTTTACAGACTTAACTTGTTTTATGATTACGGCTGTGTCATTTGTATCACCTAAGGCGAAGTGTGCAAATGAAAGTAAATTTTTGCTCAACAATGTTGTTTGTGAACCAAGTTATTACTGTATTATGGTAAGGAATATATACAAATTGCAAGAAGACAAATACCATATAATTCCATTTATATGAGGTATGTAGAGTAGACGTTCATAGATACTGAAGTAGAATGGTGTTTGCTAAACACTAAAGGACAGAGGGAATAAGGATATAATTCTACCCACATGATCTGAATTTATACAGTTTTTCAATGTTCCAAGTCTGTTTTTGCCAAACTGAAAAAAAAACTAATCCTTAAATTCCTATGTAATTTTAAGGGGCCCCCAAGCACCAAACCAATCTGAAACAGAAGAAAAGCTGGAGAATCACACTTCCCAATTTCAAAATACATTACAAATCTGCCGTTATAAAAGGCTGGTTCTACAGAATGGTCTGCACTGTCAGTATTGGAGTGTCTGCATTTTATGCGGTGATTTTGTAACTTTAACAGCTGTTTCTAAGAGGATAATATGTAACTTATCAACTAGTAATTTCTTAATTTTAACATTTTTCTTTGAAATTCTGTATTCTACCCTTTCTTTTGGTTTTGTCTTGTTTTTTTTTTCTTTAAATAAACTTTAAAAAATTAAAAAAATAAAAAAGGCTGGTTCTGACATAAAGACACACAGACCACAAAAATAGAATACAGAGCCCAGAAATAAACCCTCACCTACACAGACAAAAGACCTTCGGCTAAGGTGCCAGGACAGTTACCTGGAGGAAAGGATAGTCCTTTCCACAGAGGCTGGAAAACCAGGTATCCACATGCCAAAGAAGGAGGTCAGATATTCACATAAAAATTAACTCGAAAGAGATCAAATACCTAAAAATAAAACATAAAATTCTTACACGAAAACATGTAAGTGGCTGGGGATACAGCTCAGTAGGACAGTGCCTGCCTGGCAGATGCAAAGTCCTAAGTTCTATTCGCAGAACAAAAAAAGAAAAAGAAAATATAGAAGAAAATTTTTATTATGTTGGATCTAGTCATGACTTATTGGATATAAGATCAAAAGCACAGTCAACAAATGAAAAAAATAGACAAAATGGATTTCATCAAAATTAATTTTTTCAGCAAAGGCTACTACTATCTACAGAGAATAAAAAGCAACTCAGAATAACACAAAATATCTGCAAAACATCATTTACCACAGAAGATATTAAAATATATAGACAATGCTATAACTCAACAATAAAAAGAAAGAATTTAAAAATGGGCAAAGGACTTCTGAGGAGACATTTCTCCAAAGAAGATAAAAACGACCATAAGCACATGAGCAGCATCACTAGCATTAGGAAAATACCTCTCAATACCAATGCACACCTCTGAGGGTACCTCTAATCGCAAAAAAGGATAATAACAACGTGAGTGAGAAGAGATCGAACATTCACACACTGCTGGGAGGAATATAAAACAATTCAGTGTGGTAGAAAAGAGTTCGGTGGTTCCTCAAAAAGCTAGACACAGGATTACCTTGGGATTCAGCTATTCTACTTCTAGGAAGTTACTCAAGGGAACTGAAAACAAGAACGCAAACAAGCACACATCCATGAATGCTCACAGTAACCAAGAGGCAGAAAGAATCCAGATGTTGGCACTTCATCCAACAAAAGGATTGATAAACCAAATATGCCACATATTCACACAAAGAAATAATGTCTGAATAAGGAAAGCCAAAAAGGGAAAGAAGGGCTGACACATACCCCAACATGGCTGAACCTCAAAAACACTAGCAAATGAGAAACAGCCAGCCACAAAAGGCCCGTTAGTGTATGATTCCCTTTCTGTGAGACATCCAGAAGTGGAAAAGCACAGAAACAGAAAGCTCGGCACTGGCTGCCAGGTGCAATGGGGAAGGACTGCTGAGAGAGACAGGGGTCGCTCGTGAGGTGATAAAAAAGTTCTGAAGCTGGATAGAAGTGGTGGCCCTAAAGATACTCATTAAAACCCAAAATTATATGGTCAAAAGAGGAAGCTTGATGATCTGCAAATGATACCTTAATTTAAGGGGGAAAAAAAGTGGTGATCTCAGCACTCAGGAGGCTGAGGCAGAAAGATCACTGTGAGTTCGAGGCCAGCCTAGGCTACATGAGTGAGTTCAAGGCCAGCCTGAACTGCAGAGTGAGACCCTGTCTTCAAAAAATAAACATGTAAAAACAAATAAATAAATAAAATAAAAACCAGTGGACATAAGCTACTTCTGAAGTAAAACATCAGTAGGAAACGTCCCCATTTTCTTTTATTCTTCCCAGAGGAAGGAGCAGCCCACCTAAACCCCAGCTCTTCTCACCTTGAGGTGCTGGTGCATGCAGTAGCGACACACCTTATGCTTCATCTCATGGGTGACACTGCTCGAGAAAGGAATGAACCCACATTTTGGCTGTAAGATAAACAGAAAAGGAAGGAAAAGCATTTAGGGGAAATCACACACCATTAAGCAGACACACTACTAACTGCAAGACGACAAAAGGTGCCGGGGGACTTGCTTCTTCTCCAGCTCCCTGCAGGGTGGATGCTTCCCCACCCACCATGTCACACACACCTCTGCCCTGTGTCCTCACAGAATGCGCCTGGCAGCCTGGGAGGAGTGCAACAGGACCAGGGCTCCCTACTGGGGAAGCACAGGCATTCTTTCTGCTGACAAAAGGCAGCCTGTCCATCTGATAGTTGCTTGGCTTGCAGAAAGTCAGGGAATTCAGCTGCCTTCTAAATGCCATATCCTCTGAGCACATGCAACACAATGCCTACACTCAGGGTCAGGCTGCAGAACGTGGCTGGGACACAGAACATCCAGCCAGCCAGCCAGTGACCTGCCCCTGAGGGTCCCAAGGTGTAAGCGCTCAGGCCAAGGGCGTGATGCAGGGGTCACCGCGTCATGAGGCTGAGAGAAAGGGGACACTAGCCAGGCATTCAGGGAGGTTTTCTGAAGGGCGCAGGGCAGATACCCTTGAAGGGAAAGCTGAAGCAAGTGGGCCTGGCGCTTCTGCAGCTCCTCCTGCCTGTGCCAGACAGCACACCTGACCCTTGACTATGACTCTCAAGGGCTCTGAGGGCACACTGGCCTCTGGGCCTGCAGGAGAGTCCCTAAGCAAAATACAGAGTCTCCACCTACAGGGCACCTCAAGGCAGGTCCTCAGCACACTGAGCGGTGGCCAAAGGCCATGGTAGCTGGAGGAAATGGGGAGGAGACAAGGAAGCTGTGCGAGATGCTCACTGAGAGAAAAGAACCCCACGTGCTTCCCACTGGTGACTCCTGACCAGGCCTCACACCAGTCTAGCTGTGCAGGGTAGGTATCCCCACCGTCAGCACCCAGGAGTAAGCCCAAATTTGGGATTTGGAGCTGTGAGGGGACCCAAAGAATGTGGGAAAAGGGGCAAGCTCTGGAGGGCAGCAAAGCAAGCTCAATATCTGAGAAGGGGCTGCACGGCACACTCGGGCACCTTTCCCTCTCCCCACACCACAGGAGCTTCACCTTAATCTCCACACACAGAATGGGCCGGTGCTCTGCAATGCAGTAGGTCTGGAGTCTGGTGAGGTTAGGAAGGCACATAGCGTAACCACTGAGTGTGTCCAGGTCCTTGTCACAGCGAGACTCTGAAAGACAGGGCGCAGGCCACACCTAAGGGTCAGAGAAGCGTAAGCACCCCTTCAGTGACAGACCTAGCCTTGTGCTTGCTCCGAGAGGCCACTCTGAACCTAGCGAAAGCCTCATCTTCGCCTGGGGACCTTGGGATCTACAACAGTAATATAAAGTGACTCACGCCAGGCCAGGTGCAGTGGGCCACACCTGTAACCCCAGCCCTCAGGAGGCAAAGGCAGAACAGTGAGTGTGAGGTCAGCCTGGGCTACATGGGAGGCCTGGACTGCGCAGCAAGATGCTGTCACCAAAAACAACCACAAAACAGTGGTTTACGGCCAGCCCTAGGCAGGTGCTCTCAGCTCTGGGCACAGGCAGGCAAGCAGTCAACCCCACCCTGCATGTCTCTGAGCCCTGGTAATAGCTCTAAACACTACGGCTTCTTGGTGGCCACCCTCATGTCATGTCTGCTTGGTGAAGGAACAAAAGCAGCCCACAGGGCCCAGTGGGAGAGGATCCTGAAATCTCCAGACTCTGCCCCTGCGCCTTTTCCCTAGGCTGCTGTCATCTTTGTCCTCCAGCTGTACTGAACCACAGCCATGAGAGTAACGCTGAGACTTAGTGTCCTTCTAGCAATTAAAAACCTGAGGATGGCCTTGGAGACCTCCAAATTTGTCAGAAGTGAGGAAGTGAGGAAGTGAAAAAGTGAGGACGCCTCGGGAATGATCCCCTACTTCTGTGACTCCCTCAGCCCAGGAACTGGGTGTGGGAGAGGCGGCTGCAGGCCCTACCTTTCCCTCAGACTTGGGCCTTTCCTTGATGCAATGCCTAGACACTGCCTCGGTGGACTGAGCCAAACAAGGCAAGGCTTCCCTCTTTCACCCCCAACAAGCCTCTTTCCTCATCCTTACCACAAGCGGCAGCATGGTTCTTCTCACTGAAGTCCTAAGGCTTCAATTATGATTACAAAATGAAACAGGGGTGCTGAGCAGCATGCTGGCCTCTGTCCACCTTTGCGGACAAAAGGATTGGAGCCCAGATACAACCTGTGTCTCTACCTCCTCTGCCACAGCACAGAACCTGCAGCATGAGGCTGGCTCCTCCCTACCCCAGCCAGACCTCAAGCCCTGTTTGCTTTCATTTCTTGATCCAGTCAGGAAGGAATCCCACAGTGGCCAATTCTGCACTACGTCTTGATCAGTAACCGGGGAGTGGGGGGCACCTCATTCTAGACCACCAGAAAGTTCAAGAAAGGTGAGCATGGGACTGGGAGGGGATAATGAAGTTCTGGCCATAAAACTGCTGAAAACTGCTTGTACCTAACATCAGTGATCACTTCAAATACTTTTCAAATGGGATTTTTAAAATCAGAAATAATATTCATAACTTAAGAAATACTTACCTGGTCTTTCAGACTGTATCTTTAAACATAACTGTTTCACAAACTCTAAAGGCAGCTGAACAACTTCCTGTAAGAAAACACGAAATAATGTGGGTTGCACAAGAAGACAGTTAATGTCATAGAGCTGTGCACCTAAGCACAGTTAAAATGGCAAATTTCACATTATGCGTATTCCAGCACACACACACAAATGAGTTTAAACAATTCGGCATTTGACCAGCTCTCCCCAAAGCAGCCAGGTGCCACCGTGGGGGGAGCAGCCGCACCACTATAGAAGGCCTGGAGGTCACACATCCATGCACACAAAGCAGGGGCCAGGGGCAGTTGGAGGGCCACATTAAGACTCCCGCAGACCCTCAGACAGCCTCAGACAGTCTCACACTGCCACCTGGAAAGCAGTTCAGGGGCCACAGAGTTGCTATCCATGAGTGAGCTGGTCACAGGGTACCTGCTGGCTGATGGCCAGCCTTCCTCTCTACTTGACTGTTCCCTGGCAATCTCCCAAATGAAAGGGATTCAATTTAAGAAATATATCACCTTCCCTGACTTTCTGGGTTTTCAGAGTAGCAGAATTATGACCTCTAAACCTTCCTCAAAGAGACACAAGCAGCCTGCCTGATATTGCCCACAGGAGGCTTGCCCCTCCACCAGCCCTGCCTGTGCTGTCCTCTCTGCTCCCTGCCTGCCACACTTGTCTCGCTTGTGATTTTCCTAGTTACAAAAACAAGCTATATATGCTGCTGCTAGGAGAGGCACAAAAAATCTCAGTATACAATCGGGTAATCTGAAAGGAAGGAAGAGAGGAAATGTAAAAGTCCCAAAATTCCCAATCTCAAGGTGTCTCACACTTGCTGCACTTTAAAGAAAGCGAAGGTTCAAAGGAGCAAATATCCACCCTAATCCAGTGTACATGAGAACAATGATAAGAACTGCACAGAAGGCTGGACATGGTGGCCATGCCTATAATCCCAGCACAAGGCCATCACAAGCCTGAGCCCAACCTGGGCAACTTAGTAACTTAATGAGACCCTGTCTTAAAAACAAAAAGGCCGGGGCTGGAGATTTAGCTCAGCAGCATCGAGCGCCTGCCTTGCAAGCAAAGCAGGCAGTTGTGAGTTCGATCCCTGATACCAATAAAAACGAAAAAGACAAAAAAAAAAAAAAAAAAAAAAGAAAGAAAGAAAGAAAGAAAAAGACAAAAAACCAAAAAGGCCAGGAATATAGCTCACACCCCAGGTTCAACCCCCAATACCCCCTCCCGCCCACACACACACACACACACAGAGACACAGTGCACAGCTGGGGACACAGTACATACACAGGTCTGGGGCCACACATACAAAGACCTCCCCACGCTACTGCCTGCTTGAGTCCACAGATACCCTGAGATTCTTCTAACAACTTTAAACTGCTCATTTTATAAGAAGGCTGCCTGCATCTTCTTCAACATACCATACCTACAGTGCCACCCACCCAACCAGCCCTGGGAGCAGGTAGGGGCCAGGCTGTGGCTCATCACAGAGGCCAACTGTGCCTTGTCCATGATGGAACACTGTGCCTGACAAGCTGACATACTGTGCCTGCAGGCAGGGGCAGGGTGGCCTGCCTAGGCAGCTGCCCAGGGTTGGGCACTCTGCGAGAATCCTGCCAGGGCACTCACCTGAAGGAAAGCAAGCTGGGGATCACTCTGGCAGGCATCCTCACAAGGAGGAGAGACACTGAGACCCTTCACACCAGGGCCAGACAGAACCAAACCCACTGCCAGAGACAGTTGTGGTCCTTCAGTCAGTGTGACAAGCAGTGACTCATCCCTGGGTCCATGGCCATATTCCTCTCTACAAAGTCACTCAGCCAATGGGCTGGGACTCCCTGTGTTCCCCAGGCTGCAGGACAGTGGACACAGCTGCCCCTTCCAGCTCAAGGACAACGTGAACACCCTCACCAAGCAGCGCCCCCAACTGCCCCACAGGGAGAAGAGCAGGTTCTCCCTGGACCTTGTTGTCCTCAGCTAGAAAAGGAGACTCTCAGCATCCACCTGGCTGCTGCAGGTGAGCAAACCCCTCAGAGCCTCTGACGGTATCAAAGTCATCATTTCGCACAATGTTTCCCACAACCGACCTGCAGTACTGTGGACAGGGAACTTGTACACGATTGAGAAATGAGTAAAAGTCACTTACCCCACAGTGCACACAGTTCTCCCCCAAAAACTCTTTCATGACATTTCTGCCGAAGTCCACTATGTCCTGCAGGTGCTGAAATATCTCTTCTGAGGTCTATGAGAGACAAGCACAAGATGAGCTCAACACGGACCTGGTAAGAAGCCCCCAGAAGGTCCCCAAAACCCCCAAGAGCCAGCGCAAGCGCAGGAGCATCCAAGCCACAGTTGAGCAACAGCCCTCAGCCTGAGCAAGGCCCCCTAGGGCCCCCCAGGACTCCTGCCCCAGGCCTGTCCCCTCACTCCCTCCTCCTCCCAGGAGCCCCACTCCCACCAACACGCCCTCTGAGGAGCTTTAGAGACCTCAGGTCCAGAAGGGGTCAGGTGTTTGGACAGAGAATAAAGTGTTTCCTCCTTCATCAAGAGGTTTTACAAGGGTCAGTACACAGGTGAGACTGATGGAAAATCACTCCTGTTGTCACTATATCCCAAAGGTGAGAAAGGCAAAGGACTGACAGTGGGTCACTCCCAGGAGAGTCACACATACAGAGGCTGGCTAGAACTCACTGCACCAGCAGGTCTGCTATACATCTGGGGTTTTGTCCAAGATGGGCCGGAAGGCACTCAGCACTCAGCTTGAGCTCAGAGAGCCCCAGGACTGAGCAGTGACCCTGTGTCTTCACGGTCCCTGGAGAACCCACTGCCTGTACCTGGCTATGACCTGCATGGCTATAAAGCATGTGCAGATGTCCTGTGGCTCCTGCAATGGGATCACATCAGTCAGACTTGCCAGAAAGGCCCAGAACATAATCAATGGCCCCACACGACTGTTAGAGCTGCTGACAAAAAACTTGTCCAGGGCCAGGGGGGTAGCTCAGCAACATAAGCACCTTCCTGGCAAGTGCAAAGTCCTGAGTTCAACTCTTGGTACCCCAAAAAAAAGTTTGTCCAGGCAATAGCAGTGGCAGCACAAGGTCTCCAACAAAGCAGCTGCATCCCAACGTGCTGCTTACAGAGCATGTGCAGCAAACGCTGCCTGGGAAGGAAGTGGGGTGGGTATGGGTGAATGCTGCAGTCACTAAGCAGAGGGGACAGAGGCGGCAGAGTCACTGGGACACGTCCTACCAAAACAGCACACCTCAGGTCGTTTCTCTTTGGTGGGTGAGACAGGAGCACAGGAGGCTCTAGCAGCGCTGTCCCCTCTGCCTGTGCCCCTCCCTCCTCTTACTGCAGCCCTGTCTGATGGGGACCCTCTGCTCCCACCACTCCTTCCCTGAACCCAGCCCCTGTGAGGGCCTCACACCTCCACTCATAGAGCCCCCAGCTTTCTATGGCTTCTGCCCCACTCCACCCCTCATCTCCCAGGAGCCCCAGTGAGCTGATGACTGCCCATCCCACACTGACACAGCCCCTGCAATGAGCACCGCCTCGGCTGCATGGAGCTACCTTCATGGCACGTAATGCCCTCACCCCACACAGGAAGCAGGGACCGAGCCATGGCTATGGGAGCTTCTGCACTAGGTCACCTGCAACCACCTAAGATTCACATGTTAAAAGAGCCATTTGGCCACAGCACAAGGTCAAAAATGTGACAGCAACAGTGCTCTGTGGTGGCCCATGGGTAACACTGCTGTTTCCTCTGGCCCTGCCCAGCAGGACTTCACCATAACATAGACTGTCTAGCAGGCACTGCACTCTCTACTTCCACAGAGGCAATTCCACAAATGGGGAGACTGAGGCACACAGTCCCAGAAAGGGAGAGTCAAGACAAGGTCCTCGCCGCAGCAGGACCCACAGACTGGGCCTGGGCCTCTTTTACTTAGTGTCAAGCAGAACCACCATGGGAACAGAGGTGGGTGACATGCAGGACACAAAATGAAACATGGGTCAAAGTGCTGAGACCTGGCAGATCTCACATCAGAAATCTTGAGGTTCACCACCTTCCACACTGAATGCTTGTGTCCAATTTAAATTTCTACAATTAGCATTAGTACTCCTACACCTGGAAAAACCCCAAGTTTTCTTAAATAATGGTTATAAGGACTGGAGGGGTGACATATTTACCTTCTTCCTATTTGGAGGAAACTTCAGAAAACGTAGCACAACACAGCGCTGTTGGAAAATAAAACAAAATCTGATTAATATTTGGCTGCCAAGCAGACTCAGCAACAAGTGGCTTCGGAGAAGAGGTGAGGTCAGGCTGGGGGCCCTGAGGCCCAGGCCACTGGGAATCCCCTGCAAAGGGGAGCGTTGGATGGGGCCACTTCAGGGTGACAGGCTGCCAGAAAACCCATGGCCTCTGGCCCAGGCTGCCCATGCCCAGATATTTACTTTGAAATAATTAAGGAAACTCAATAGACTTTAGCTACAGTGTATAAAAGCACCTCTTTAATTCCAAATAAAATGGAAACAACCTCATTGACCAACAATAGAGAGATGGTTAAATGCAAAGGGATACACTGCATGCCATGGAGAAGCTTGGCTTGCAGCCAGTTACAGGAAAACAGGACAGCCATTGAATACAAACAGGCAGAAAGACAATCATTCCATGCTACTATGTGAAAAGCACATAATGAGCCCACTTTCAGAAAGAAGGAAATATATAAACACACAGTATGTCCACATGCATGATATACACGGGTATGAATGTAGTTCTATTCATTTATGCATAAATACATATATGTAACACTGACCCCAGCGCACGCTCCTTAGGCAGAAGGGATGGGCCCTGAAGAATACCAAAAAAGATACTGGTCATGGGGTCTGGGCTCATTTACTCTCTCACAGTTAAGTAAACTCTTACAATCTGATTGCTTTGCAACAGGTATGTTACATCTCAATCTTACTTTCTTTTCTTTTCTTTTTTCCCATATCGGAGACTGAAATCGTGACCTTGAACTTGCCAGGTGAGCGCCTGTGCCACTGAACTAAGTCATCGGCCCTCAACTTTCTCAAATAACAATTTTTCAATGAGGTTCAAGTATGATGTGCTTATGTGGAAGAATATGAAAGGATGATTCAGCACAAGTCTAACAGCATCTCCAAGGAAGACCATTTTTTTGCAGGGTGAGGGGATTAGTTTTTTGAGACATGGTCTCCCTCGGTAGCGCAGGTTGGCCTCAGACTCACGGTGTATCCCAGGCAGGCCTCGAACACATAGCAGTCCTCCTGCCTCAGCCTCCCAAGCACTGGGATTATAGGCCATACCCAGCCACAATAATACTTTTAAACATCCTGCTTATTTCAGCATTTCAGCACTTCAATGTTCACATAATATATACATTCCATGTGGGAAGAAGGTGCTTGACAGAGGCTCTACCCGAACATAACAGGGTGGGATGTAGTCCCTGGCAGGTATACTGGGTAGTACCCCAGGACCCAACCAGGATGAAAGAGGCTGCCATATTGGCAACAGCTTAGAAAGCACAGCTTTCCAGAACAAAAGATGCCTTATAAAGCAAAAAGCTCCATGGAGATGAATCCACCCCCGGGGACCCGGACCTACCTACTCAGTCAATCCACACTCTTCTCCTAAAACCCAGCTGTTCTGGTTGGTTCTCCTGGACCCTGGTTGTTCTCCTTTTTTAAAGTTTACTTTTAAATTTCTGGTGTTTTTAAGAGGATTGCACTACATTGGCTAGGCTGGTCTGGAACTCCTGCATTTAGGAGATCCTCCTGCCTCAGTCTTCCAGGTGGGTGGGACTATCCATGAACCACAGTACCTATCACTGAGCCCCATTCCCAGGTAGTGTCATTCACTTGTCTCACTGCTAACCCACTGGACAGCTGTCCCCTCCCTGAATGCCATTCTCAGGCTGGGGATCTGAGATGGATAGGGCCCACGCTAAGACTGCCCCCGCTAAGTGCAGGGCTGGTGTTGACAATGGATCCACTCAATCAGCTGAGGGTCCACTTAGTGAAAGTGGTCCACCAGTTCCACTTAGTGAAACTGTAATTCCACCCAAATTCTAGGAAAAGCAGAAGTCGAGCTACAAAAATACTAACTCTACCATAAAGTGAATCATCTCGACACAATTTCTGCTCCAGAGCCTATCTGATCAGTCCCTCCACCAACTGCACCAAATACATCATTACAATCCACCAAGACACTAATTACACAATGAGCGTTGCTGCTGTGGCACCCAGCACCTCAGCAGCACACGTCTCTGGGGGGAAGTTAGCAGGTTCCCCAGAAGCCTGGAAGTGCCTAGAAACCAGGGTAGTGGGGCCAGGAATTGAGCTCGGTGGCACAGCACCTACCTGGCAAGCGTGAGGTTCTGAGTTTGATTCCCACTTCCCCAAAAGAAAAAGAAAACCAACACAGTGAGAAAATATACCAAGGCCCTGGTTGCAGGAACTGACCCGCACTGCCCTGGCCCCCTGCAGCATGAGCGCTAGCTCTGCCCCTCACACAGGGCCATGCCTGCTGCCCACAGGAGCCAAGTGCGCTCACCCACAGAGCTTTATGGCATCTAAAGGCAAAGCAAGTCTCTCAATTTCCCAGGAAACTAACTATTAAACTGCACAACAGCCTTGTAGCCAGGCAGTCGCACGGAGGGCTAAGCCAGGATAGTCACATGAGCCTTTTCATTGCTGGAATGCCCCACTGCAGCCTCAGAGAAAGGAGTTCGGAGGGCCCAGGAACAGAAACCCTAACACAGAAACACAGAGACCCTCAACAGGCAAAACCTGCCTGTTAACACACTCAGATTTAAAACATTCTCTGCAACTGCTGAGCCTGATAAAGGCCGCAACTGGTTTTCTCTACTTACAAATGGAAATTACAGATTTCCTTTGCATTGTTAACACACAGGCCATTAACATTGAGCATAAATTAATTCAGAAAACAATTATCTGGCTTATCAAGATTTTTTAAAACCAAATTGTATGAACACTATACAAAGAAAAATTGTACACAGGTCCCAGGAGAAAAACAGATCAAACCCACAATGACTCCAGGGTTTGGCCCTCACTCCTACTTGCAAATAACAAAAAATTAATGTTAATAATCTTATTATTACTATAATGCGTAAGTGTGCAGAGCACCAGAGTATACCCCCACACTATATCATCTCTGCCATCTCTCCCTCCAAGGTGGGCAACTCAAGTCACAGCACAATGTGCAAAGTGAGGCTCCAAAGGCACAGATTACGTCTTCTGGAGCCCAGGTCCTGCCCCACTAGTGGCCCAGCCTCAGCCTGGAGGGAAGCCTGGAGATCAAGGGCTTGACCCCAAAGTCAAGGTCAAGAGAGCTAAAGCACGGCCTGGAGGTGGGGGAGGAGGGGGGTTTCCACATCTTCTGAGTTATCAGGTTCCTTATACCAACCAGCAGGTTGGGGCTCTGGCTGGAAAGCTGGTCCCAGCAGGGGATGTGGACACAGCTGTTCTGAGGCCTGGACAACAAGCCTGGGTGGCTCCCCTTTTCTGGTCCACCCTTCTCCAGGGTGTCCTCAGCTACCAAGTCCATACCAGTGCTAGGCCTCCCTGCTATCACCCACAGGAAGCCTCCTTCCCCTTGCCAGTAGGGAGCTGGAACCATGACCAACTGAGCAAGTCTGAATACAATGATCTATTTCAAGGGAAGCTGCTTTCTCCACCCACCCGTTTATCATCCAAGCACTGTCACCAGAAACCCAATCACCACCCCCATCTCCCCAAAGGGAGCTGCAGAATCCACTTTAAAGGTCAGTCTTAATACCAAGACTCAGACACAGGGATCGCCTACATAGAATAGCTAGAGCCAACCACTCCTTGTCAGGGTCCAGAATGGGCTCTGACAGCTGGAACACATTTGTCCCTGAATGTGCCAGACAGGTCCACTGAGAACATGGTCAGCAACAGGGCCAGGCAACACTCATGAGACATATGAGACACTCATGAGATAGTAGAGAACAGATTTAAAAAAAAAAAATCAACTTCATACCAGCTTTCACTGGCAGAAAAACAGCACGCCTGTAATGATTTCTAATAGCTTAGGTGCAAAGTAGCTCTTTGGTGCTTTAAGAATGTGGGATTTCATACTTCTTCCTGGAGATGGTGGAAGAACATGAGTTCGGTTCTCTACTTCTTCTAACTGCATGGCATACGCCTAACCCCTGGGGCCTCACTTAACTTTCATCGCTAACATCTTTTTACAGAAATAACCAGAGGGCCAGGGATTTAGCTCAGTGGCATAAGCACCTGCCTTGCAAGAGCATGGTCGTGAGTTTGATCTCTGGTACCAATTTAAAAATAAAAAATAGAAAAAAAGAAATGACCTATGTGCATTTGAGCAATCCAGTGGTGATCTCAGTTTTCTTGATGGGGTTCACTACTTGTGCCTTTTGGTTTTTCCTAGGGTCTTCACATTAGCTAAGCTACACGCCACCCTTTTTTTATTGTTTTGAGACAGGGCCTCCCTATGACACTGGATTGCCCAGGCTGAGCTCAAACTTTGTCATTTTCCTGCTTCAGCCTCCCAGCATGCTGGGATTGCAGACATGCACCACTATGACTGGCTTTTACCTTTTTATTCATGCCTACTGTTGCATGGCTAGGCTTCATTTCCATATTTCTTTGTGGTTTTCAACCTTGTGATGCTACTGCACAATCTTTTTCTGGTTTTATACCTTCCCTGGTGACATGGCAATGTTCTTCCCGACTGATTCCTTCCCCCTTCTTGGTCAGAATTCAGTCAGAGGTGCAGCTCCAGTGACTTGCTCTATTCTCTTAGAGTTGCAATAAAGAAACAGAAGTCAGGCATGGTGATACACACCAGTAATCCCAGCATTTGGGAGGCTGAGGTAGGACTGCTCCAAGTTTGAGGCCAGCCTGAATTACAAAGTGAGTTCAAGGCCAGCCCAAACTGCACTGACACTGTCTCAAAAAAAAGGAACAGAAAAGATCTCCAACATTCTTATAGCACCAAAGAGCTACTTCCAACTGAGCTATTATAAATAATTATAGGTGTCTACAATGGACATCTTTGGTTACAAGATCTTTATTTTCACTTCTACTTATGTCCTTATCCAAAATACCAGAATAGAAATCAGACCAACAAAAATTAATGCTTTTTCCTGATATTTTTGGAGCTGGTAGGGATTGAACCCAGGGCTTCAAGCACACTAAATACACAGTCTACCTCTGAAATATGTACCCCATCCCTTTTACAATATTCACTGCAAGAAATTTAGAGAAAAATTTAAAAAGCAAAGACCAGCCTAGTTTGGCAAACATGCACAGTCCCAGTTACCTGGTGGGCTGAGGCAAAAGGTCACCAAAGGCTAAATGTTTGAGACCAGTCTGGACACAGTCTCAAAAAAAAAACTAAAAGTCAATCAGGACTGTAACAAAGTACTAACTACTTGTTACATTTTGACCTATTTTGTTCCAATCACATGTGTAATCAGAGTCAAGTTATGACTCTTTCATAATTTATGCTTTACTTTTTCTTCTTCTTTGGGTGCTGGAGCCAGGGTCTTGCACAGGCTAGGCAGAGGCCCTAGCCACTAAACTACCTCCCCAGAACTTCTTTTTTTTTTTTTTTAATTTTGAGGCAGGGCCTCTCTTAGTTTTCAGGAGTGGCCACAAACTTGCAATCTTTCTATATTAGTCTACCAAATAACTGGTTGGCACCTGGATTACAGGAAAAACCATACCTGTTTTTTTCATTTAACATTGTAAAAAAATTTCTCTGTATTAAGTGAAACAGCATAATTTACCCAATCCACCCACTAGAAAATAACCAACTAAACTGTTTGAATTTTTCTATATACTCTGAGTTGCTCAGCAGATGGCAAGCACCTATAATCTCAGCTATAGATTATAGCTGAGAGGCTGAGGCAGGCCACTTAGGCCCAAGAGTTCAAAATTAGGAGACCCGATCTCAAAAAAAAACCAAAAACAAGTTAAAGTCTAACATTTAAAATACTGCTATATTGCACAAAAGGAAAAAAAATCTATAAACAAGAAATCCTAACACACAAGTCAAGACGTTAAACAGTGCAGCAGATCCCCAACTGCTTGACCTTCACACCTACAAGGTCCAAACACCCAAGCCACCAATACAATTTGCAGAAATGATCTGAAGCTCTTCTTAGAAACTCAAAAAGGTTATAAAACTAGAATCACTGGAACTGAGGAATTCTCTCATCATGCTTTCGATAAATGTTCTTTGCAGGCAGGTCAGTTAAGTGGCAGTCTTTCATGTTACTTCTGATGTCACTAAAAAGAAAACACGACAGTTCAGTGCACCATCTGTTCCTGCACCCCAAAGTGAAGGTGACTCAGTACCCTGGACACCAAAGATACTGAACAATAAACAAGTTATAAAGTGACTTCCATAGGACAAGACCTTGAGCCAAAATCAACAAGCTAAAGGTGAAGGAGACTCTTTGGGAAAGTCCAATGCAGAGGCATGGGAGGTGACCACAGGATTTGCTGACCTCTGGTGTGGCTGCTAGCAAAGATGCCATGCCCTTAGGTTGCAAATAGGAATGTGTGCGCCTTGATATGGTATGTCCCTGCCCAAGGTACCCTCTCAGAGTTCACACCTTGGGCTCCAGACAGCTATGGGACACAGTGAGGCCAGGCTGGCTGACAGCCCATATGCACCAGAGGGTCCTTGCCAGGTGGATATAAGACACTACACATGTTACACCTACCTGGGAAAGGGACACACTTCACAGTGCTCTGAAGCCTAGAAAGAACTGCCTTCCAGCTGACACTGGAACTATCTGGGACTGTTTGGGCGAGCAATGGAGAAGCTCTGAAGGCTGCCAGTCCTTCCCCTTCTTGACTGCCCTACGCATCCCACACACTCCTGCAGACCACACTGAGTGCCTCCATCCCCAAGCCGCAAGGCCTGCACTAAAAATTTTCACTGTCTTCCATTCCATGCCTGCACACAGCAGAGTATCATGGTGCCTTTAGTGTGGCTGACCAATGACAGTCTAGATGTTCCCACCTAGACCCTCAGCTCCTACAGGACAGGTCTCAAGATGACTGTCTACACATGCATTGTGTTCTTATGCCGCTAGGGAGGAAGAGCAGACAGAAGCCCTTGTAAAGCGTTTCACTTCAGAGTGGTAGGTGCCCACTCAGAGAAAGTGATCTTCTCCCCATCTGAACAACTTGGCAAAGGCCTCCCTCTCTTGGGCTGGCTGAAGCAGATCTGGGCAGAGTGGCAAAGCGCACTGCTCTCAGGTTTGGCTTCCAGAGAGAAGTTCTCACTCATCCACTTTATCTCTATTCCACTCACTTCTTGAGCAAAGCAGGTTCTGAAAAGCTGTCTTCCAGGGCCTGCTGTCTCCCCCTTGGACTACAGCCTGAACAAACATGCCAGCCAGGCTTATGCCGGCCCAAAGCCTAGCATGAAGATGACTCTGAGCAGCTCAGCACTCAGCACAATTCACTTTATCTACATTAGCAGATACACCCAACCTTAATTTGGTGGAATGATTTTTTTTTTTAATGCAACTATTTGTGATTATAACTGCTGCAGTCGGAGGGGGGGGGTTGAGAGAACAATTACAATCAGGACACAGAATGTGTATTATTTTATGATGGTCACCCAGAATTAAACACAAGAAAGTGCAGAAAATCTGTCCATAACACTAACCACCCAGAATATTCAGCTAAGAGCCTGTGTCCCACAGCAATATTCTGCATGAGTCCAGATGAAGACCTATAGCCCACGACAATACCTCCCACAAATCTAACTGGAGGTTTAGAGCCCAAGAGAAGGACTCACTCCAGTCTGTTTTAGGGATTTACACTGGGAAGGCCCAAAGGTCAGTGGTAGAAGCTAGAAAGTCTATGCAAGCAGGTAAAGGAACAGTGCACGTAGATTGAGGATTCTACACTGGAGCAGAGAAGTCACTCTCAAAATAAGAATCAGGGCTGCCCTAAAAAATACTACAGCCATCCTCAGCAACATGGAGGGCCTGAGCTCCTCCGATGATGAGAACAATTGAGTACATGCCAGGAAGCCAGCATGACAAGCTTCTCTTGGAGATTAAATAGCACACATCTTCCCCTCTGGAGCCAGGAAGCGATGCTCAGTATAAGGACCAGAACTCCCCCAAAGTAAGCCACAACCACTCTCACCAACAAGGTCCTGAGCTCCTCTGATGACAATGGCTGAATTCGTATCAGGGAGGCAACCATGATGAGCTCTTCCAGGAGGACCAACAGCTCGAAACAACACCTAGCTCTTCTTCTCCATGTCTCTATGCTGGCAACTTTCCTCAGGTGAACCATCTACACACAGCACCATGCTGATTTAATTCAGCTGGTGTTAAGCTGACCACCAGTTTTTAATCCATAACAATAATCTTCAATTTTAAATGAGCTAAAACAACCACCAAGTAGAATAAGCATAAAGAAGCAAGTTTAAAATAAAGAAAGATGGCTAGAAGAATAACTTAGTGGTAAAGCATTTGCCTAGCATGCTTACAGCCCTGGGTTCAATTCTCAGCACTGCAAAATAGTAATGGTAACAACAATTAAAAAGTAAAGAATGAATAACATGGGACCAGGGTAACAGGGTAACTAAAGGTAAGCTTAACAAGGTAAAAACAAATAGAGACATAACTATAAACCATCAAAGCTGTGCAAAAGGGAGGATCCAGGCTGCCCTGGAGCCGCCTGCTCAGGGAAGGGGCAAACACACAGTGAAGAGGGAGTCACAGAGACAAGTTCACAGAAGCCTATGATCTTCCAACTCTGGGTGTCCTTTTGCTTCAAGTCTGGAACTTGCTCCATCATCTGTCACTACTTTTGAAACTTAATACAACAGCACCCTTGAAGAGGATGGCCTCTGTTCAGCCTTGTCCATTATTAATTCACCTAAAAGATCATGAGTAAAACCTGTGGTCTGAGTTCTCTGATTTCCAACTGTGCTGATAGTAACAAACCAAAATCTAATAGGCCACCTGGCTGACCTTTTCCCTTCCCTGAACAGCTGTTGATCTACACCAGGGGTCCTTAATCTTTCTGAGTTTTGCTTGCTCCACCTGTCCAAGAGGATGATAGTTAACACTACTCCAGCATAACTTGTCTGACTGCTATTCAATTGATCTTTCCTGAAATTCCATAAAGCAAACTATTCCTATCTCCACTTTACAAGTGTGGGCACTAAGCCTTCTTCACCAGGCAGTGGTAAAACTGGAAACTGTCCCAGCTGCCTGTGCCTTTTAACTGCCAAGCTGTAACCCCTCCCTACAAAACACCTCCCCATCAACTACCCCACCATCCAGCCCACTACATTCCTGTGTAGTTGTATCAGACAGCAAGATGTCAAAGAAATCTCCAGCCACACACAAATCCATATGCTTCTCTTCCTGGATTCACCTTTATGAGAGTCACTATAGTTTCTGACATACTCGCTGGATTAAGAAGGGGAAACCCTTTGAATTGTAAAGGATTCTACAGGCGATCCTGTACGCTTCCCCCTGTTATTATTAAGGCCAAAAGCAGGAAGAACAGCAGATCCATGGTCTCAAGAAGCTCAACTCTGGACGAGCTGGTAGCGTCAGGATTCCAGGCACTTCCCCCAGTGCTGCCCAGGCCCTCGTCCCGGCTTAGCCTCCGCCAGGCTGTCGGGCGAGCACCCGGGCGGAGGCTGTACCGCGTGAGACCGCGAGGCACCCACACGGCGTGGGAGGGAAGAGCTGGGAACCGACGGTAAGAACCGGGGGGACGCTGAGGGGGCGGGGGGAAATAGGTGGGTACTAGTAGGGCCAGGGGACCAATTTAGGTAGGGGATACGGGGGAGGGGGGAGACAGGGGGTGCCGGGAATGGGGGACCGAAATGGGGAAGATGCTAGGAGAACGGGGAATGAGTTACGGGTTCCAAAAGGAGACAGGCCCAGACTGGTGAGGTGCTAGGAACGACCGGGAGCCCCCGAGGACCAAGACCATCGGGCGAGGGCCTGAACCGCACTACCCGTTCGCCACTCACCTGCGCATGGGCCACCACCAGGCTCTTGTTGCCTTCCCCGTGGTACCCCCATTCATTCTCATCCATCTTCTCCTCTTCCATGCCCCGGCGCGGCCTTGGAGGCTCGCGGGCCGGGACTCGAGGACGCGAGCTAGAAGCCGCCCGCCTCGCCGGGCTCCGGCCACCGCCGTCTGGGGAGGAGCGCCTGTCAGCCGCCGCTCCTCACGGGCGCGAGCCGCCGGAAGCCACGCCCCCGGTAGCTGCCACGGCCAAGTCGGCAACTTCCTGGTCCCCGCCCACTTTACCCTCGTTGACCGCAGCGTCGGACAGTTCTTCGGCCATTTTAGGTACTGGCAGCCTGACTCACTTCCGAGGCGCGGTTTTGGGAACCGGAAGCTAGGCTTCCGGCTCAGGCGCCGGATGCGGCCCGGCAAGGAGGGGCTGGCGGCTTCTCGGCGCCCGGGACTGACCGGAGTATTGTACGCTAGTAGCTGGTGGCTGGCAACTTAAGGCTCCACGCCTCTCAGTCGTGTGATCCCAGCAAGGCGTTCAGGGTCTCGGAGCCTCCGCTTTCGTTTCTGGAAAACGAGACATGACTCGTATTCTCACGGGGCTACCTGAAGAGAGCCATCAGGCAGTCCCGTGAGGTAAAGACGTTGTCGCCCTCCGGGAGGGCGGACTGAGCCCTGGAAGGTGTGGGGACGCCCCCTTCTCGGGCCGACGTGCAGGCTGTGCGAGGCTTCCTGGCTGTAAGGAGTGGGGCAGCCGCTCTGTTTATTCCCTAGGTGGTGAGAGGATGACCACCTTACAGAGCTGCTCCTAGAGACACGGGGTCGCGTTCCGGGTCTGCGACCCACGGACCGCCTTGTGCTCCTGAAAATGATTGAGGGGTCAGAAGCTTTCGATGTTACTGTATTTTAAATGAACATGTTTAAAAGTATGTCTTATTTAAAAATAAACATGGGGCTGGGGATTTAGCTGAGCGGCATAAGCGCCTGCCTTGCAAGCTGCGCAGTCGTGAATTCGATCCCTGGTACCGATTAAAAAAAAAAAAAACAAACATTACGTAGTTTTAATCGCTGTATCCTCTTCTAAAAATAAAAAAGAGAGGTGTGGCGTTTACTTTTTTGTAACTTCTTTAAAATCCTGGCTTCATGGAGGACAGCTGAATTCTAACGTATGCTGCATGGGTTCTGCTGAGAAACTGAATATTGCTGTCGTTGATGATCTGTGTGAAGGAAATCCAACCTCATGCAGATAATGTGGTTCATAACCTACAGACTCCGCTGACAGGAGCGCCACGGAACCAGCCAGGCTTTCGGAATAGAAGAGAAAGAGGCCTCCAGTTGGGAGGTTACTGAGGATCTTCCCCAAGGAAGAATGAGAAATTAGGGTAGAAATATCCACTCCTGGGGCTAAGTAGAACTCCCCAAGAGAAGGAGAGGAAGGTATGGGGAAGTGAGAAAACCATTAAGGTTCAAAGTGCAGACCTTCGCAAGACTCTACAAGGCCAAGAGACCTCAAACATAATTGAGATTGAGTTTCTCATTTTCTTGTGAATGGAGAGTTGGATCCGAGTAAATATATACTAAAATATTTCCTTCATGAAACTTATTAGCTTTGGTCATTGATATGGACCTCAAGTGAATAAAGGAAATAGTCTCATTCCCAACCTACTGGATGTCAGATACGTATGAGTTTGGGTTCCCCAAAATCAAAGGATGAATTCTAAAGAACAGTGGAGTTTAAGAGAGGAAAAGTATTGGGAGAGAGAGCTGAGAGACCAGAGGGAGCCTGAGTGGGTTGCCAGTGAGCCTACTCAAAGGAAGCTTTATAGAGTAAAATCATGAAGTGGGTACAACATGGGACAAAACTGTGATCAGTCAATTGATCATCAGTATAATCACTTAGGTAAAGTTGATCCAGTGGGGAAGCAAGAAATAGCAAGTGTACATGGGAAAAACAAGGACCTTTTTTGGAAGAGATGAGTCAAGAGGTCCTGGTCACCCACCTGGGTGACTCAGATGTCTGTCTAGACTTTCTCAGGCCAGGTGAATTATAGTATTGCTTATCCCTTGAGACATGCAGGCCTGGTCAATCGTCTTTATCTTGAGGCCTGTTCTTCAGTGGATGTGCCTCCAGCCACAGTTGTAATATATTCTCTTCCTGTGCACTGACTCCCTTGAGGCCCTCTGAATGCCTATAATATTTCTACCTAACTTAGCCATCTATGATATCCTCTCTTTCCTCCATCCTGAGCCCCAAAAGAGAGACCTGTTGGGAGGTTACTGAGGATCTTCCCCAAGGAAGCCTGAGAAATTAGGGTAGAAATAATCCACTCCTGGGGCTAAGTAGAACTCTCCAAGAGAAGGAGAGGAAGGTATGGGGAAGTGAGAAAATCATTAAGGTTCAAAGTGCAGACCTTCCCACAACTCTACAAGGCCAAGAGACCTCAAACATAATTGAGATTGAGCTTCTCAGTTCCTTGTGAATGGAGAGTTGGATCTGAGTAAATATATACTAAAATACTTCCTTCATGAAACCTCTTCAGTGCTGGAAGTGTTTTATATCTTGATGTTTTTTTCAAGGATGAGTATTTTATCACTGTCACTATTTAGAATTTGCAATGCATAGTGATAAAAACCAGATTACATTTTTATTTCATAATTATTTTTAAATTCTCCACAGATAGTGGACCTGGCAGACTATGCGAACCCTCTTCAACTTGATATACTACTCACACTGGGGAAGAGACTTAGATGCTTTGAAAGAAATATGGTTGGGCCAGTGGTGAGGGACGGGAGGAGAGTGACCCTATTTGAAAGGACTGGGAAAAAAGAAGGAAGGGCTTGTGAGCAAGCTGCCAGCCAAAGGGATAGGGGACATTAGTTATTTTTCATTCCCTGGCTCCACATCCCCTTCTTTGTATAACACCAGGGCAGTTTTTGTTAGAGGAAGCACCTTTCCTCTCTTCACAATATGTGGTCTGATTTAAGTGGACTCAGGTCCTACTCAAAGCTGAGCTTGTGGCCTCAACCTGGATAATCAGGAATTATATCCGTCTGTGGTTCAGCTGATGACACTTTTGTGGCTTGCAATGAAATGACTGAGTGAGAACCACACTAAGGTACCCAGTGGAAAACCACCTCAGCCAATAGTGACAAAGGACTACACATAGTAGCTGCTGAGGGAAAACAGGTGGAAAAAATCAAAGACAGTTCACTGTTCACCAAGCTCCTTTTAAGGCTCGGTACCAACGAATTCCATCTTTTGCTTAACATAGTGTGAGTTGGGTTCTTTTCACTCATAACCTAAAAAGTTTAGTAGAGCCATATATGAAGGTTGACTTTGTCACCTCAGATAATAAGGGAAATATTGAAATGGCTGTCATTAGATGAAATTCTTACAAAAGAAGTTACAAATTGAATATTTTGTCCCCTAGAAATTCATATGAAGAAGCCCCAGTTTCCAATGTGAAGGTATTTGGAGGTGAGCTTCATAACCTTTGGAAGGTTATGAAGATAAAGCCCCTAATAAGAGATTAGTGCCCTTAGGCTAGAGATACAGCCCAGTAGCACAGTACCTGAGTTTGATTTCCAGTGCCTGAGGGGATATGTAGCCAGGGCATGAAAAAAAGAAAGGTATTAGTGACCTTAAGTGAAAGACCTTCTCTCCATCATATGATGACACAACAAGAAGGCAGGACTCATCAGAACCCAACCATGTTGTCACCCTCCCATGTTGTCACCCTCCCCTTAGAATTACAGCCACCAGCACTATGAGAAATACCTGTTGTCTAAGCCTAGTCTGTGACATTTTGTCATGGCAGTTCAAATTGAGACAGGTAGGAATTCGATTAGATTCAAAATGCTCTTTCATCTAGATTATATCTATGATCATTAACAGAAGAAAAGGAAAGCATGGCGGGGAGAAGACAAAAAGAAGGAAAGAAATAAAAATTCTTTCAACCACAATGAAAAGCCTCACACAGCTGAGAATGAAGCTCACAGACAGAGGACCTAATATATCCAGTGGCCTGTGTTTGATTCTTGGCATCACAAACAAAAGAGAAAAAAAGGCATTGATAGGAAAATGATCCAATCTGAGGTCTACTCAGTGGTAATGTACTGATGGAAGGTTTCGTTTGGTTGTTTTGGGTTTTGTTTTGGTTAGGTTCTGTTAGGTATACCACAGTTTCGTGTGTTTATTTGGGGGAAGCTAGTAAATGTAACTCTACCATCTTTACAACATGTCTTTAAATCTAAAATAATCCCATCACCACATCCCCCCAAATTATTCATTGCTTAGCTTCTTTCCTAATTAAACAAACTAAAATAATGAAATATGTTTTCTTATATATCAAAAAACAACAGCAATCCCATGGAGGGTTTGTCATGGGTAGTAGGGAGGCGTGGACAACACAGCCTTGTGCAGTATTTTGGGGACAGAAGGGGACTTGTTGGAGGGCTTCGCCATATCATTAAAGCTAATGCAGCTAGTTTCACTTAACTCATCATTTCCATACTCTCTCAAATGGTCAGAGATGTATACAGGGTGTTCATAATAAAAGAGGGGGTGTGGCAGGTAGCACGTGGTTCCCAATTTAGGATACCTCAGGATAACCTCAGGATGAGACCCAGCATGAGACCAGGAGGGAATTCAGATGAGTCAGAGAATCACCAAATTACAATATAGTAAAACTGTAAAGATGGTATCAATAACTTAGACCTGTTCTGTATTGACTTGGATGATGTCAAGGCCTATGGTTAAGTAAAAGTAATATTTGAAGTACATGTGTGTGCATGTTTATGTGGGTATAAATGTGAAAAAGTAATATAAATTATTCCCTTTGGAAAGAGGAGAAAGAACTGGAGAGGAAATTCACTTTCCTCTTGCATTTTTATATAGTTGACTTTCACAGAATATATTGATGTGCTATCCCCCTTCCCCCAGGACCCCATATGTACTAAGCGAGTGCTGTATCCCTGAGCTGTGTCCCTGACATCGCGTACCATTTCTGTAATAAAGGCTCACTAAATGGATAAATTCTCTTTTTTAAATGAAGCTCTGAAAAAAGGCATGGTGGCATGGGACTGTAATCCCAGGACTCAGGAAGTTGAAGCAAAGGGTCACCACAAGCTGGAGGCCAGCCTGGGCTACACAGTGAATTCAAGGCCAACCTGAACTACACAGTGAGACCCTGTCTCAAAAGTCAAAAAAAGAAGAAGGAGAAGAGTCAGGGATATAGCTCAGCATCACAGCACCTGC